CTAAAAAAANAAAAAAAAAAAAGTGAATCCCTACCTACCGACCCTAATTTTTTCTGGACTGTAATAGGAAACACAACATTTATTTTGTTAGGCCCTATCAATGGCATACTGCCAATTGGCCTTTGCTCTTGGCTGTTAAAGGGATGGGCTGCACGTGAAACCTTATGTAACCAAACAAGTGCAGGGGACGCAAACCAATAGGCACACTCTACACACGCATGCTCTAGGGATGTTGCTTCAACAAGATTGTGTTTGACTTTTGCAGTTGACCCAAGTAAGCTTCTAGCGCAAGATTGTGAAGTAGTGCATAAAGGGCAAAACTGGATGGATGGGACAATAAAAATTCCTCAAGATAACAAATATACATCTGCTTTGTGTTTTGAGCCTTTCCAGTGTCCTATTGGTACTTCTTGGAGCTGTATACATATTTAACACTTGTAAGACCAGAAGGACTTTATCCACATGTAATCCTTCTAACAAACTGGCGAAAAATAATCCTAAAATGGAAAGTCGGAATTCTTTGATTAGCCGGCCACGCACGTGGTGCGGATTGTACCATTTGGCTTTGTCTTTTAGAGAAACGCAAGGGTGCGATAGAGACAATACTTTTCCTAGTTTAGCACTTCATAAACGTTACAAACAACATTTTTTATCACTTCCACCAAAAATTCGTCAGATTATTATCTTTTTCACGGAAAAAAAAACGCAAGCGGATGTACACTGCATACGGAAACGCACGGGAAGCGCCACGCCTGAGCAGGTACTACAGGCGAACCTGACGTCATCGATCAGCTGTCGGCGCATGCAGGAGCCAGACTCGCGCCACGTGAAGCACACATGATACCCGCCCCATGAATAGCAATCAGCCGCCGATTCTAACCGTTACCAAATCCCTAAATATAGGCCCACTCTAGACGAAGCATTTCGCGACAGCGGCGATATTTCCCGCTGTCGGGACGCCGCTGTCGCGACGTCTTTATACACACAAATCTCTTTGCATCGAACATCGAACATCCGAATGTTCTAACGCGTGAAATCCAAAATGGCGGGGGAGCCGCCAATGTTTTTCCTCGCCGTGTGTCAGATGTTTTTCTTTATGTTAGTCACTCTCGTCTTGTCCAATATGAGGCGACGAGCAAGGGGTGCACGCAGGAGACGGTTGAGATACCGGGAGATGTTGCTGACACGTCACCCTGCTTACCTCCCCGCTGCCATTGCTTTGGCAAAAGGTGGTGATCCTGTCCACCGGAGGATCTGGCGATACGTTAAGAAACCCGCGACCTTTTGGCAAAAATTTGTTCAAGGCACACTGTGCGATACAGAGTTTTACAGGCGCTTCAGGATGTCGAGGGGAACATTTTAGATGCTCTGTGACAAACTGAACCCTGACCTCCCGCTGTCGGGAGTTCTCTATACGCACTTTAAGTTGTCGGGGACTCCCGCTGAGTTGTCGGCCGACAACTTTGGAGCTGTCGTCAGAAAATTTCATGACAGCGGGACTACGCTGTCGGGAATCCTCTCTAGACGGCGTTCCTGCTGTCGGCGTGCCGCTGTCGGCAGTTACCGCTGTCGCGAAATGCTTCGTCTAGAGTGGGCCATAGAATCGTTTTGAAGAAAACTCGGCGTTATAATTGGACTGGACTACTTAAAACAGCATATTCATGCGTGGGATGGTTAAATTTTTTGGATTCACTGGGCGAAATAAGGATGATCCGAAAACAGGGCGGATGCTTAGGTTTTCAAGTGCAGTGCGTTTGTGTAGAATTTTGCCCCGTGCAGTGTGCACTAAGAAGGAAACCATTAAAAATTCACCATAGAAGCCATACGATTTGAAATTTCGAGGCAGAATTGTTCACATCTTACATTTAGATCTTATTTTCAACACGTACATGCAAAGCCGGGAAGGGCGATTTGATTTTAGCACTACACTCATGAAAAATTCATGTGGCGCGCGGCTCCTGATTCTGAGCAATCGCGAGAAACATCGTCAAAATCTATTCCTATTCCTTGAATCACAATATTATAATTTTATTGTGGTAGAAAAAAGGCAGAACAAATCATTTTATCGTTTTATCGACAAAACAACGGGGGTATGATCATAGGGGCACTAGTGCAGACGAAATTTTACGATGCGACTTCACGCGTATATGGTTATGTTGTTGAAACAACAAACGTATTTCACTCCTTGTGAATTACTGGCGGTGATCATACAGGCGATCTAGACGTTAAAATTCAAAGGCAAAGACACAAAGGTTTGCCTTAATTCACGCACGTGGCCCGGCAAGTTTAGTCACGCGAATAGCCGGGGACAGACGGGTTCTTGGAGCGGAAATCTGGCGGACAGAAAATCCCGCCTTTTTTTCGTGTACAGCACTGTATTTCTAAGGAAAGGTTTGATGGAATTATTTTCTCACCTGCCCATTTCACATCTGTATCTTGCAACTCTGGCAGTGCCCATGGATCGTCGATCGGTGTTTTTGTCGTTGGATAGTCCCTTTCAACTTGAACGGTGATGGTTCCTTCCGGAACAGGCAGCAGACGGTTCCCCTATAAGGTAGACAAAGACCGGTTAGTGAAAGCGGCAAAAAACGTGGTGATGCCGGCCGGCAAATTTCGACGCCAAAAACACACCGGAAAAAAAGAAATAGCCCTTACCTCATATTTGGCTTTCTCACTGTAAGGTGGCGGTGGAGTATCTGGCTTTATCAGTCGTCTTGTAGACGAAGGTGACCCACTCGGGGTCGTAGCAGCTGAGGTAGCAGCGGACGACGTTGGCGAAGCCATTGTAGATTTTCTCGACTGACGAATTTTTGGGCGCTGGCAAATTTGTCACTAAGCGGACGACACACTGCTCGAACTCAATATCATTCCGCCCATGATACAATTCTGACATAAGATAGCCATTCGGGCATGATAATTCCAAAGCAAATGTCCCTTCAATGCAAAGACATATACAATTTGTTTCTATGGATCTCGCAAAACTGGCAAGAATACGTCAAAAAAGGTTCAAAATTATAACATATTCTTTGGACTACTTCTTATTCGCGTAGGCACTTTTAGCAGTACTCCGCCGACATGGGCCACTCCCCCGGGCGCCAAATTTGAGCCGACCAATCAACATCGAGTACTGAGAAAGGCCCACTAATCCCGCCCTCTCATTGGTCAATTTGCTGTCAGGTTTTGGGGGTGTGCCATGCATGTGGGGAAGCCATGTTGTTCATGCAGTGAGCACGGGATAGCTTAGTGGGAGGAATGACGAATCGGGTGACTAGTGAAAAACCAACAATGTTGACGATATTTTTCATTACAAGCCCAATGCTCTGATCATAATACTATTTAATATAAATCAAATACATTAATGTTGAATTAAAACATTGTAGACGACGATTTTGAAATATTTGTTTGATCATTAAAAGTGAATAAAGCTGAAAAGCTGTGACACATGACATATTGTATCCCTCCTAGTTGTGAGTGCTCTTCACTACGGCGGTATGAGGAAATGGCATGATCACAGAGTGAGTAACTCTATCGCGTCATGAAGCGAACGCTGGAAAACCGGTTGCCGCCGGTTGAGTGGGCGCTTCGGTAGACGCCCGGAAGAACAAGAAATGAGTGTGTTGTCAAGAAAAGTCCGATCCGTCACAGACAGAGGTTGCAATTGGCCAAGGTTATTTTGTGATCATTTTCTTCGAAGCCATGTTTTACTTTCAAACGCTCAAAATTACGCGGATGAATGAATGAATGAACGGACATAAAATAGACCATATCAGCAACGCTACATTCAATCAATCAATGGTTTCGCACTTTCTCTCTCCCTCAGTCACAAATTTTGTCAATTTATTTTGCCAAGAGTGAAAATTTCAGGTTACGATAGAATCATTCACTCAGTGGGCTATTACCAGCCAGTTACCATTACCCTCAATCACTGAAGCGGCGCCAAACTGACAACGCAATCTGTAACACCTTTCCCCGCCATTATTCACCAAGGTACATGTATTGCCTATACTATAGCCTTATTGTTTACACATAAACATTCAATCAGGCTAACCCCTCAGGTGAAACAGGTTTCTGAAATTTCTTTCTTACCACTCCTTCAACTAGTTCAACGGTATTGAGTAAATCACAAGGGCTTATCTGACTGACTACATTTCAGTGAAGCAGATAATATAACGTTAGTAACGTTAGCACTGATAACAACTTACAAGTTACGCTCCATTCTTTTAATAATGTGTTATGCCGCCATATGTTCTGTTGCCACTCATGAATAAGGTACCGACAAATTGTATTTGTTCCAGTTTTATGCGTCAAAATCAGTGTGCTTTTCCGATGTTGTTTCTCAGTTTTTTTCGGACTCAACCGAAACAAGCAGTTGTGGAGTTCTTTGATTTTATTGAATAAAAGAATGGTAGAAGGAGGTGTGTGTCCTTGTAACGGTTGTGAGCGAATATTTAACCGGGCAAATATTTTGGTAAGTGATGACACTTTCTAAATTGTGACCTTTGCCCTCACGCTAATATAGGACCGGGTATAAATAAGGTAATGGTGCCCAAATGGAGTGTAATGATGACAAAGATTTCAACGAAGAAGAAAACACTTTATAAGCTTATATAAAGTTCGTGGAACGTTAAATACAACTGAAGTCAAATTGAAGTTATCCCACTCCGCAGTTTGAATCTCGCACGGATTTGAGTGCACGTGAAAGGATGTGCCGCTATGGCGGCGATGGGAAAAACAAACCTCGGTTCAACAGTTGTAACACAAAGTGATCACGAGATGGTCACAACCGAGAAACTTGCAGAATACTAACAACAACGTCACGTTGGGCACGTGTCCAGGGCCATGTACAAATGCCCACGCGTTGTGATGTCATTTACACGAGTGCTTACACGCACAGACACGGGGGCCAAAATGCAGAGTACATGTTTGATATTCGTTACCTACTCATTACATGCCTCTCGAGCATATCGGTTGCGCAACATCGTGGCACGTGTATCTATTCCTGCTTCATGATTCATACTAGTACAGCAATCGTCTCACAGCAATACTTTATAGCACCTGATATAATTTCAAATATGACTGTTCTTCTTCATGCATCTTGTCGCTCAGAAAAACGAACATCAAATTCTCCATGACATACGACATTAGATTTTATTTCGATATCTAAACCGTCCTGTTCCCACTGATTTTATATGAGTGAATAATTATGTTATCAATATTATATGGCCTCCTTTGTTCTTCACGGCCACCAATTGTTTTATTCGATAACGTATATGAGGAAAGCACAGAGGTGGTGTGATGATAAGATCGTGATTGTCCAAGAAGGTTGGATTGTCGTATATCTCGTGCTTACACCCCGATATAAATTAAATTACAGACTATTGTACAGTCAAGCTATCTACCTGGCCTATGCACAGGGACTGTTGGAAAGAGAGTCCTGAGGCAATGATCGATATTACCCGGATAGGATGTGTGTAGTGGCCTGATCTACAGCCAAGATAGCGCCGATAGCAACGTCATGTATTAATCATGTTCTTGTACGTCTCTGCACCGAACTTGCGTCATGAGTTTTATTTCCAAGGTTCCTTTCATTTTCTTGTGATCAAAGCAAACCTTGAAACGATGGCACTCAGAAAACCGCACACATCCAACGAAATGGAAATCATGTCCAAGTGCCGACCAAAGACTGCCATGAACCAAACAGCCAACCAGCGCGTAGCACGGTAGCCGCACCCCCTGTGACGTCCTTGATCACGCATTGACCCGGGCCCTTCACACACCCTGCACGCGTACGTCTGACCGAACAGACGGGTAATCATCGATAGTCTCCACTCCAGACACCGCGGTGGACGCTATTACTATGCCGTTTTTTTCCTATTCCTAATCGTCCTCTTCGCATTTCAGTCCTTTCAATAACAACATTTTGTACAATGTTCTGGGCGCCAGGCAGCGTTTTTATAACATCTTCGCTTCAACAAAAAAAATGTATGTGATACACTGCATGCACGGTATCTAGAACTACTCTAACGTTAACAGCGTTACATGTAAACAAAAGACTATATGTAGCACAGGATGAAACTAGTACATACTCGTACAGTCTTTGGTGGAATGTCTAATGCCCATTTACCGTTTAGGTACCGTATTTTATCTAAAGTGGCAGAAATCAGAAAACATATGATAGCGAACAATGGCGATATCGATATACCCTCCGCGAAGCCTGCTATGGGGGCTACATAGCAGCTAAGAATAGAAAAGGCGCGCATTATTGTGAACAATAAAAACACCACACCCGTTCCGCTGGCAAAACATGACCTTTGTCAGTATGTCAACAAAGAGCAGCTAATTACATGCGCAGGTAACCTCACAAAACGTGTCTGACAACGCCAACGCCACATCGACAGGTGGAACATTTAGGATTGTCTCTAAAATCATAAGAAGGTGCTTTCTTCTGTAAGCTTATTTTGACATAATGGGCTCTACTGCATTGACGTGGCAAATAGGACAGACCAACGCAATAGTCATTGGGGACATAACACAATGTTATAACTGTCGCCAAGTTGCATGTGTTGTGTGGCGCCGAGTTAAGGCATCGAGATCGATGAATCATGGAGTTGACAAAGGACCATTGACAATGTTCAGCACTGAATTAAGTCTTTCAAATTGTCCAAATTTGAAACGTCACTACGCACAAATATTAATACAGAGGAACCGTGTTTGCTGAAGTCATGGAGGTAATGCTGAAGTCGCATGGAGTGTCTGAAAGAACTAGCCCGAGTCTACCAGGTTTCAGGAGGCGGCTCTCCAGAGCTCGAGTAAAAATCGGCCAAATAGAGAGACAGCATGCCAGGGGATTTTGGTCGGCTGGAGAGAACACTTTGCCTAGCTGGGCGAGGCTAAGTACTTCATGTATGACGTCACGAATGACAGCGCTGGTGTCGAGTTAGCTTCGGATTTTGAAACACGATCTTTAAGAATTCGCTGGTTTATCATAGCTTTGGATTTACAGGTCACGGTAACATAATATAAGATGCCTCGATCGGCGACAAAAATCTGTGGTGCTAGCAGTCACAAAATACAGGTTTATATAAACGTTGTACATGTGGAGCGTTCGTGTGAATTATGTGAGATCATACATTGCTATGAGGGATTGGCATTGCATTCCCCATCCAGAGTTTTATTCATATGCGGTCACTGACCCCTACGATGAACAACCTAGTATTTAGATAACTTGCTTCCATGCGTGCCTTTTCAGGTTATCAACATACAAGGCATATAGTTCACTATCCACTATAGCAGTTCAGGGGGCGGTGACCGATCCAAACTCCGGGTCCAATGGCGCAAAAGAATGCATTTATGCATATGGTCTAATATAATCCCCACAAACGCATTTGTCACGGTATCAAATGATAAATGGCTAAATTGTTACGTAGGCATTCTCAGGTATTTCTACAAGCCAAATAAAAGCAGAAGTGATTATCATATAGCAGCTTGCCCGAGGAGCGAAATTCATGTCGTCTGGATGGTAGATAATTGTCATGTTGTGACTGTTTTAATACTTTAACCAAGCTATACTCCAGAATTCTATTCCATCTATACGTAAGCTCGACTGATTTCCAACCAAACACATCACATAAGGCTTGAAATTACGCACTGGGAACCATTGTACAACAAACAGACCGTATACGTGGTTGGAAAGCTTTGTTATCCCTGCACTGCTATCAATATGGTACTTTACGTTTGGCTTGGTTCTACCGGTGGTGTCGAAGGATAAGCACCATCTAGCGTCCGTTGTTGGTATCGCATTTATGCAATGTGATGGCAAGTTTCCCATTGCGATAGGCTTTCGAATTCGATCATCATGGCACGAGGCATTTACGATTTAAAAGAAATAACCAATAGACTGTTGCATTTTCAAACAAGATTTTTCTTGATCTTCAATCCTCATCATCATAACGATCATCATCGAAGAAGTTGAATCTGCCATACTGCTACATAAACTGCTCACTGATGTAGACAGAAACGAGGGAAAAGATGACCAACGTAACAACAAAAGACATCATCATCATTGATCCTCATATTAATTCCTAGTCCATCTTTTTACAGCTACTTCTCCCTTTGAACCGCTCGGTGAAGATAGTCATTAGTACATGTATATAAGATCGCCATGGTTTCCATGAGTTTTAGAATTCCAAATTCAAGAGCAGAAACTCGACCACATCTATCTGGGTAACCAATCAATTAATCAATATGGTCATGAAGAGGGCAGTGTCTAACGCATTCTGGGTTGAATATTCCCGCACTTATAGATGGAGGTAATCTCAACACGTTATCCTGAACCAGCGTATCTAGTCCACGTCTCTTCATCCTCAGTACTCTCCGTATCGCATGCAAACAGATCCTCTTGAGATCTGCAGGGTGTCTGGAGGCTTCTAGTAGCCGATCTCGCCAGCAACTCCATTCCTCTTCTAACAACGCTGGAAGTCCACCGTTCCGGTCGAACGCCTGGATGCAGCAGGTTTCCTTCAGCAGCATGTGAAGCGTAGCTGTTTTGCTTCTATTCAGCGGATTGTCGAGGAAGTGAAACAGTGGTGTTTGAGCGTTATCGTAAGTAGAGACATCCGTGTCTGCTCCGTGGTCGATCAGAATTCTGATGAGCCTGTCGTTGCCTTCTCGGCTCGCTAGGTGGAGCGGCGTCACGCCATTGTGGTCTCTGGGCGAGAGTTGGACTCCGGATTCCAAAAGTAACTCCACGCATTCCACCCCGTCGCTTTGTCTGTATGAACAAGCCACCACTGCCTGGTGCAGGGCGGTGCGACCATCTCGTCCTGTAACATCCACCGACACCTGCAGTTCAAGAAGATGCCGCACGGTGTCGAGGTGTGCCATGGACGCTGCCACGGCCAGAGGAGTTCTTCCATTTGAATCCTGCGCGTTCATATCGGCACCTGCCTCAGAGAGGAGACCAATCGCCTGATAGATATCAAAAGCTGCTGCATAGTGTACAGGGGTCATTCCAGACTCGTCTTTAGCGTTGAAATTAGCATGATATCGGCACAATGCCTGTAAACATTTCACACATTTCTCAACGTCCCTTGCTCCAAGGCTGTGGCCTTGCGTGTCTGTAATTTTATACCGAGGCCAGTACAGAAAAGTCATGTGAAGTGCTGTTTTACCCTGACTGTTTCTTTCGTCGGGATGCTGGACTTCGTATCTGAGCAGCAATTCCATAATTTCGGGGCGCCTAAAGATGGCGGCAACGTGCAATGGCAGGTACCTACCCACCTGTGCTGCAGTTGGACGTCTGTCCGCTAGGGCGCGATTATTCAGGAACATCTCGCACAGTTCGACTTGGTCGTTGGTGATGATCTGGTGAAGACTGACACTCCTGGACTTGCTGTTGTTGTTGTCGTCTGGCCCTGCCATGTCCTCTGTGTCCGAGACATCCTCTGCCTCATGACACGTCCGGAAGGATCCTTGTAGGGAACGTAACAGGGAGACGCCGAACATAATGGCTCCGACACTACAGCACTATAGAGCGTGGACGTCAAGATATATAACTGATTCTTCTGCAAGTTCCCTTTCTGTATGTGCAGACCGGTTGGCTTGCGTCCCAGTGCTACAGTGAAAGATCAGCAGAAAAAACTGCTGCACTCGGTCGTACCTTGACTCTTTGGTTTCCGGACGTCCGCATTTTTCTATACTTCCCCATTCTGAGCGCTAGCAGTGGGTACATCTGCGTAACCTCGCAACTGTCCATCAGAACACTTGTGTCTGCCTCGCTGATGTTCCATCAGTCAAGAAATATTCAGGTTGGTCAGTTCCTCTCATGCATCAAGCACTGACAGGTAATAAACCCACTTAATGGTCATCCCGGCCGACCACACGCAACTGATTTGCAGCTCTGGTCATCCCTGACGAGGTCACCTTGGTCAGGTCTAATTAAAAGAAAAACACCGCGAGCCCTCTCTGCTGCTTCAGACCATTACGTAACGAAAGATTCAGGGATCACAACTGTAGTGATTATAGGCAGATGAGAGGATTTCCATCCGAGCCGCACTTAGGTACTATATAAAGGCTGGAGTCAGGGAAGTCCTTGGCCCGCCTGCTCCGCACGCCTGTATTATGAATCCCGGTGCCGACCAGGGCACCACTGTCAGGGTTGACCTGCACTCTTAACACCATGCCGCTGACCCCATCGCTTGTTCATAAACGGCAATAGCTGTCAGCACGTACGGAACACCGAGTAAACCTCCCAGACAGGAATAGCCGGGCGGTGATGCTCTATTCTCCCGCCGTAAGGTTTGAATCCATATGGGAACACCGTGCCCCTCCAGCTATGTCCTGTCATTCCTGTGCCGCATAGTGACAACCCACGGCCTCGCGCTAGCTGGTGACACGGGATACCTAAAGATACAACGTAACACGACCTTGGCAGAGCCAATATTATGCTTGTCTGCATCAATGACGGGGATACGATCTCTGTCTCGGCCTCAAGCCTAACTATTGAAATGATAACGGCGCGGTCTTCAATTATCTGAACATTTCAAAGCGACGCAACACATTATGCACCCATAACTCGTTCGGAATATCGACGTTCAAACGGTTGTTTTTTCTCGACCAACACAGACTTGCGCGCCGCAATGGGGAATGTGATAATTAGCAAAGACCTGTCAGACTTCGCACACTAAATAGTCTATTTTTGATCTGCGGAGTTTACATAGGGTTGGAACAACCGTGGAAAATTCATGTCATGAATGCTTTTAACCGTCCCCTTTTTGACACCATTTATAAGAGACTATCTAAAGACGCTTGCATTCATACAAAACCATGAACAAGACGACGAGCTAATTGCGTTGTTGACTAGTTCCTTCTGCAATTACCGAGCTAATTTAAAACTGATGCGTTACCCGAGTGGCTAGTAAGTTAGTTTAATGTACTCTACGCAAATAAATAGAGAGCCCACTTCTTCAGCAGATATATATGGACATGCTGAAAATACGCACCCTCCTGTAAAGGGGTGGGGATGGGGGGCGCTGGCAAATATTGGCTTAAAAAACAGTTCGCGAGGTATCGGGAGAGTCATAAGGGCATGTCGCTGATCGTTTTCCAATGCATTCCGGGTGCTTGGATGCTCAATAATTGCCAGCAATTTTTGGAGATAAGCCGATATCCCACGACTATTACAACCTGATCTAATTTGTAAACCCCATCACGACTGTAGTGTGGGAGTGCTAATCCCAACTCGGCAGAACTCGCTCTTCCCTAATAGAGGGTCGATCGATCCAAAATACATTCGTGGTTTTGATTGCTTTATGAATCTACGCAACTCTGCTATTGCTAGTCCTTTAACGTTTCAATCAGTTGAGTGAACTTAAGTCATATTTATGTTTACCAAAGGAAAACATATTGTTTTTGCTACGTTTCCTCTTCTTCTTCTCCAAACCAACTGAAAGGTCAATGACCTGAACCAGACTGTCTGTTACCATGATACTGGTGTTGGGTCACATAATGTTGAAATATCAGAGCAGGAGGGATTTAGACTCCTGTCACCATATATATGAATGTGTTGGAGTAAGAATTAACAGAGCAAACCATATGAGAACTTTATGCATTTGCTTTGCAAATGTTACTTTTCTAGTGAATACACTGGCCAACTCTGCTATCGTTAATCCTTTCACGTTTCAATCAGTTGAGTGAACTTGAGTCATACTCATAGTCATAGCTCAGATGACTCATATAAGCCCAATGTTCAATATCAGTCGTATCCTTTGTTGGATGCAAACGGGTGATCCCCTTCAACCGGCCGAGCGATATCCAAATTGACGGATGCTCTTCATGAAAGTGTAAGATGAGCAGAGAGAGATAACAGTAATTACGTCCGTGTCCTGAATGACCGCCTCAACGGGTCAGCTAGAAAAGAAGACACGGCTTGATACGTCAATGAAGACTTAAACATCCGGGTCGAACCATAACATGATAGAAAATAAACAAAGCATCGGGACACATCCTCTAAAGAGTCAGACATTCCAATATTAAACAATCATTATTTCTTTGATGATGAATGCCATCTGAATCCTATGTATGATCTATGTAACATATGTAGGAATAACACTCATAAGCTATAATGTCTGTCCGTACGTCCTAGATAATGATTTAATGTCTTCTGTCGCTGCTTTCGTTAAAGCTACTTTATCACAGGCGAATTTCATTTCCGATTTTAATGCGTTCTGTCTAGACTTCCAGTCTTCCTTCCGTCTACCTGATTTTATTAGCTGTACTTAGGTAGGTATTAACGTTAGCCTGTCGTTTTCAGTCAAGGACTACTTTAAACCTCCTTGGGGAAACTATATAAACTAGTGTATGTGTGGGGGGGCGTCCTCTTTACACGCAGTTTCGAAAGTAGTCTACGGCTATTCAAGGATAGTCACAACATCGCAGCATCTGTTAGCGATCGTCTAAATGATGTGCAAAAGCTTGGGGTCCTATATATAGAGTAAGGCACTAAAAAGAAAGGCGGAGACAAAGTTTGAATTTCCCGCGCTCAAACTCGATTTCCGGATGGTGTACCTCCATATCCGGATCAATGATTTTTTTTCGCAGGGTTTTCTGGGTAATTCCCACTTTTTTGGAGAAGACGCCATCTTGGTAATTTTTGGATGTGTGGGACCTTGTAACAGCTACAACAATGGCAGCGGTAGATAGCCAAAATTACGAGAATCAGATATCTGAATCCAAATCAGGTAAGCTTTAGGTTGTAGAGATTTTATTTGGTGGGGATTTGAGGGTGTGCCGTTTAAAATAGAGCTGTTTTGGCGCAGTGAATTTAGCTGATTTTTATGCCCATGCACGGCGTGCATGGCGCTCTGGTAGGAGCGGTCCTGAAATTATTTTGTGCAAAATGAAAGTTTGAAGAAGAAGTTATGCAAGATCGTGAGTTATCAATGATCTTATATTACGATAGAATACGAGTAGATAAATATGCGGAAATAATTTATCAAGTGTGTGGATTGATTTTTATGCAAAGATATCTTTTATGCTCTATGGCGTGTCAGTACTGTTGCATGATAAATATATGAACGTGGCTATATAGGGCAGACAGTACTAATTTAGATCTTGCCATAGGAACACATGCTTAAATACACTATTTCAACACCTCATGAAAGTACTTGCCCATACTCCAATCTCAAAAATTTTTCTGCACCAGGTAGCAACAAGGGTCTGATTCCCAAAAATAGAAAGGAAACAGGGGGTTGACCACCTCAACCGAACTTCGGTGGAGATTTCCGTGTTGTTTTCTGATTTTCATCATCCAATAAGATAAACTTGAAGACCGAGGTTTAAACTTGGTGCCCCTGAATCCTCAAACACTCACAAAAACCCAAGTTTTGGGCCTACCAAGGAGGCTAGTATTTCGGAGTGTATATAAAATCTATTTGTCTTTTATATACACACCGGGAGTGTATATAGCCACGGCGTAAATATATTTATGGTGCGTTTTGCGGCGGGATATCGTTATCGGTGATCGCAGATTGTACTTGAAAAAAACAAAAGATTAGTTATCATTTGAACTTCAATTATGTGTCGCACTAAACACACAAAAATGCCATAAAACAACATGAATTTGTATACAACCTGTTGGCGAAAGAAATATGACTTACGACATAAGACAAAGGATTGCAACTTGTTTATAGTCTTTTGTAGTCCTCCATCATGTACTCCTACTTTATAATTTTTTGCTGAAGCATGTAGATTAAAATCATGATGCAAAGCCAAAGTTATCCATTGTTCATGTATAATGGGAATACTTGGATTAGTTTTTTTTACAATGATTTTGGAAACATGGAAGGGGATGAAGATTTGGATGATGGCATTTTTGTACTTCAGATTTTGCAGATGTAAAATTTGTAGTAACATGATTTTTTCCTGCCACAGAGCACAGAGATCGGGACAGAGACCGTGACAGGGAGAGGAGTCGTAAGCGCCGTTCCCGGAGCAGAAGCAGGTCTGGCTCGCCCCGTGGTGGTGGCGGCCGCAGCGGCGGGGACCGCAGGAGGCGTGGCGGTAGAAGTCGATCCCGTAGCGGCAGCAGGGACAGGGGCCGACGGAGAAGGTGAGCTGGAGGGACAAAACAGCGCCAAAACTCAGCCGTATTGTTGTCCCAGTTGTGGAATTTGTTCAGTATTATCTGTGTAGCCAGTTCAAGTTACTATAAGTTTATAACAGCCCTTCAGAGAAACACACCAGCTTTTCAGGCTCAGTAGCAGCTGGCTACATTTACACAGAATGACCTGTTACACCTGAACTTTGCAACTGAACAGTGCAGTCACTGTAAGTCTAACAGTATACATGTAGGATAAAATAGAATTAGAATACAATAAAATCAGGCTCAAAACACCCACCTCCAACTTGCGAAAGGAGATAAAAATCGAAGTTTCGCTGGTGAAAAAATCCAGGGCTCAGTATTACTTAATTACTTATGGATGGTGTTAATGAGGGACACACAACTGTTGAACTTGCATTGCATTGTATTTCCACAGGGTGATCGGTGGCCTGGATGATGACAAAGCACCAGTCCTTCCTGCAGGGTAACTATACAATTACACTCCTACATGATGAAAAATGCATGTACATTTCTGTAGCACAATCCCTCATTATTCATTCCAGTAGTAGTGTTGCAATACCTTAATGTGAGTTCTGATAACCAGTAGGATTGATGAATTACATGTTAGTTATCAGATGGCACTCTACCATTGATAAAGCTAGTTGTTGTGAGACATAGTTCTGTGTGTGTTAACCTGTTCCAGCCGGTCCCCCCGGAGGTCCAGGCGCCGTAAGCCGTACCAGTACTGGGACGTTCCCCCGCCGGGCTTCGAGAACATCACTCCTATGCAGTACAAGGCCATGCAAGGTGGACCTCACATCTCACTCTCTTTCCTCAAATAATCACCCAAACCAGTAGTAGAAAATTTATTATCAATCTTTGTAAGTTGTAACACATAGCCTATATTAGATAGGTAACACAATTTTGCAATGTTATTGTAGTTGATGAATGTTGTTCTATGCTTCCAGCTGCTGGCCAGGTCCCATTGCTCGCCAGTGCCGGAGGTAATGCACAGTTTCCTTGGCTGCTTGTATAATATCTCATGGACAGTCAGAACTAGTGATGCATACCTAAACCCAATTTTAGGTTCAGGTCCGGATTCAAGTCCAGAGGTTTAGGTTCATGGTTCCATGGCATATACAAAATTGCTTGTTGGTAACCTTACAATGTTGTTTGGGTGAAACTTTGGCCACATAACATGGAGGCCGGTACTTGACGATGCCCGATGGCAATGTCATTTTTTTGCAACAAAGATTTTACAATCTACAGAAGGTTTTAGGTGGTTTGGAAAGAAAGGGGGTATGTGAAATGGTCTTTTATGGTAATAAGTCTCGAGTCTGGACTCGGTTCTTGACTTTTAGGTTTTTTTGGACTTGAACCTAAACATTCTTACAAGTCCGGATCCAAGTCCAGTGAACAGGTATGCATCACTGTGTATACTTGGTTTGAAATGGCTCATGTACTGGACTTTAGAATGGTCCAGGCTAGGTGTGTTTGTTAGTTTGTACTGAGTCAGAAAATAGATTTCTGAGAGGTAAAGTCCATCAAGAATTACATGTGTTTACTACTGATAATTCAGTCCAGTTGATTACCCAGATTCTTCTGGTGTCTCAGCCTCAGCCTTTGCATATTGTTCTATATTCTTCTATATAGTTCTTGCTATGTGTCTAGCTTTGAAAAGTTTAATACCTGGTAACTAGTAGTGTTGATAACTAAAATTGCAAGCTGACAGTCATGATTTTTCATGTTCTATTCCAGGCGCAGCGTCCATGCCATCCATGCTGGCTGCTAGTGCTGGAGGTATTTGTTCATCCTTACCCGAGATCAAATTTAGTTTGCTAACGTCCATCCAGTGCTTATAAGTTATATGGAATAAATTTGTTCTAAAAAAAATGTTCAAATAGAGATTTTTTATAAAGATTGCTATTGAAAAACTATGTAGTCAAAAGGAGTGGTAACTTGCCCGGTTGTGGTTGGTTTTGTAATGCTGTTTTCAGTCTAGTCAGTGATTTTCCCTTTTCATGACATAAATGTACCTCAGATCAAGTTCAACTCATACACACTCATGTATGACATGCTCACAAGTAGAAACACATTCTGATTTTTACAGTATCTCTTTTGATGACTGATTTTTATGACAAGATTGTTGCATCTGGCTCTTCAAATTGCCTGAACTAAAGTCTCGCTGAGGGAAATTGTTTGATGTTAGTTCTGTAGTGTTCCCACATTTTGTGCCCAAAGTGATCTTTCAAACAAAACCAAAGGTTGCCCTTGCAATTTGCCCATTGACGGAACAGTGCAAGAAATGTTGTGTTTCAATGTTGTGTGGTAAGATTTGATGCCAACTCACTTTGTGGTCCACAGAAATGACGAGGGTAGGCAACATAGCATCAGGTATTTATACCCCATGGTACACCTTTTCTGTGTGATGAGACATTTTGTGACAAAACAATTATCATTTTGCCTATCCCTTTCAAAATTATACGAAGTTGACATCGATTTGTCTCAAAATACAGGGAGAATTGAGTGTGTTGTATTTTTTTTTGTCGTGCTGCTTTTTACATTTTCAAAATCTTAAGTTGTAAAAGCTTGTGTGGCACTTAACACATCTACTATTAGTTTCCACAGTGTTTTTGTAATTGTATGCACTAATTTTGAAATCTGTGATACTTGGCAAATGTCTAGTATGTGCATGCAAATGGCCTGAAATTCTTACTTGTTGCTTCAATTAAAAATTCTTTAGCCAAGGTGTAGAAGTTTGAACTCAAACATATACATGGGGAGGATGTTGCTACAACTTGAACAAAAAAACTGTACTTCCCTCACTGTACTTGTCCCTAGCTCTGCCCTAGAAACATAGATGTGTGATGTGTATAGAATCAGAGACTTAAAAATGTACAATTGTAGAAGAAAACTGACACATTCCTACAATAGGAAAGTAATCATCAACTCCACTAAAAGGTTCAATACAACTAAACAGTTGCAGAATTGTTGAATTGTATTTGATGTACATTTTCTTTGTGATTCACAGATATGCCGGGGCTGGGCAACATGGCATCAGGTATTTATTCCAAAATTACGACTTAACTCTTAACAAATAGTTGTCTTGAATTTTTTGTGCATTTTATTTATGTTGTTGGAAACTTCTTCACAAAAGTCCAAGAAAACTTTAGCAACACGCAAATTTTATTACAAGGGATGTTCTATTTGAAGTGAACCAGGAGGGATTAAAAATATGAGTTTTGCCATGAAGGAAAACTGTCTAATGCAGTCCTGTGTTTGATTGACAGCCACTGGCTCCATCCCGAGCGCGGCGTTGTTGGCTAACGCAGGCACGGCCATGCCGATTGGCAGCCAGATGACCAGGCAAGCCCGCCGGCTGTACGTGGGCAACATTCCGTTTGGTGTCACAGAGGTTAGTCCTTGCTGAACTTTCTACTTTTTACATATAGAAAGATACATGTGACTGTTATTACCCTTGCCAAGAAGGTTATTACCTTTGCCAACAAGGTTATAAATGCTATAATACTATAATAGCATTCTTTGTTAAGATCGATAAGAATGTCATTGGTTAGGAGAATATTATCAACTGATATGATTCATGCAAATGAGGCTCTTATTTCCAAGATCATTGAGTAAAAATGTATGATTCGTCTGCCGGAAGGGTTAACATCATTTAGCAAAGGTAGGAGGTCGTGGAACTCTTGTGTTTACGATGTTTGGGTAAATCCGTTTTGTCTGTTCGTTTACCTTGGTGGTTGCATTTTATGCAAATGGAGAAGCAATGTTTAAACAACGATCAACCAAAGAGTGTTCAGCAGGCAATCAGTCTTACAAAAGATGTGACTTGAGTCTTGACTACGACTACATTTGTAGCTTCATTTGTGTGTCTCTTTACCCCCACAGGAGGCTATGATTGACTTCTTCAACACCCAGATGCACCGTGCCAGCCTGGCCCAGGCACCCGGCAACCCTGTCCTCGCCTGTCAGGTCAACCTGGACAAGAACTTCGCCTTCCTGGAGGTAAGACTTCCTCTTCTAGAATGTATCAACATTAGACAGACCAATCCCTTACTATGTCCCACTCCTGCAATGTGTAGATACAAAAATTTATTCAACAATACCTACCTTTTCTTTGATGAACAGCCAAGATTGGTCTAGTATTCATAGTTATGGCATCACCACACCACGTTAGGGTATAGACTTTTGAACACTTTACATTTTGAACAGTCGTGATTTAGGAACAATCCATTTGTGCAGAGGAAGGGATAGGTCAATTTTTGGTATTGGGGATGTGATCAAGCCATTTGCTTTCTAGTTTCATTCATAATTTTGGTAAGTCCCATTTTGAAATTGGAAAGGTTTAAAGCTGGTTTAGAATGATATCTACTAAAACAATCTTTAAATGTTCGGCTCATCTTTAACTAATGTTGTTGTTGTTTGTTTGATTCTAGTTCCGATCTGTGGATGAAACGACCTTGGCCATGGCGTTTGATGGCATCATCTTCCAAGGTCAGTCCCTGAAGCTGCGCCGCCCCCATGACTACCAACCAGTCCCCGGCATGGCGGAGAACCCGGACATCCACGTGCCAGGTGAGTTGACTGGACACACCAGAGAGATATTTAACTTTTCTGCTTTTGTCAATTTCTTGAAATTTTTTCAAACTTTCTAACAGAATAGCTGCACCTTTCGTAAACGAAAATTCTAATTTTAGGAGTCGTTTCAGTTGTCGGTTTGTTGATTTCGTACCGGCTTCTTATTATCATTCAAAATTTAATGTATAATTTGAAGTTTGTTTTTCGTATCTGCACAATGAAATTAAGTGCCCACATCATTTGACGTTTTCCTCAAACCTTTAAAGCATTATAAGAAGCACGAAAAGAAATTGTAAGCCAGGGATTTTGGTAACAGTGGCACATTGTAGAGTAACCATTATAGTTCTATTGTGTAAGACTGTGTTTTTTCATGTACCCTTTACAAACAATGAAGACGTTCAGATATGAACGGCTTGTCTGACCTAGGTGGGTTCCCCGTTATTCCAGGCGTGGTGTCAACAGTGGTGCAGGACTCCCCGCATAAGATCTTCATCGGTGGACTTCCCAACTACCTAAACGACGATCAGGTACCCTATTCTGAGTGGATGGAACAGACAAAGAAGCCAGCCTTTACCTTTGTTGAGCCCTTGACTGTAGTTTGAAAACTTGAATGTGTTTCTGTTTGGCTGTTTGTTTTGGAAAACTCTTACTTCAAGCTTTGACTGGAGGAAGAAAAGACAGGCTGGTTTCTTATCTGTACCCCCTCTGGTGCTTTTGTAAGACTTAGCATATTTCAAGCAGGTAGCAGGGAAGCGGAGAAGACTAGGTACTCCGGGAAAGAGAGGAGATACAGGCTGTTGTCTGTCTAGGCACCATTCCCTTTCAGGGTTCTCTTTCCCAAGGTTCTTTTCAGGTAAGGAGGTGAGGTTCAAGCTGTGGCATGGGCGTGTCTCCAGCTTTTTTTTTTCCTTTTCCCCATCCCAAAGTAGCATGAACGTAAGAGATCCCAGCCCCAGTCCAGTGCTGACCAAAGGGGAGGACTATGGACACCCCTTTACCACATTGTCTTTCATTGGTACTCATTCTTAAAGGCTGTTCCCAAATTTACGTTCTTCATTGCATTGTTTCAAACACAAATCCTCAAGAAATTCCATTGAATATGCTCTCTGAGTTGAGTCCAAAACTTTTGTCACCAAATACATCAGTGACTGTTTCTCTCCGCAAAAGCACTTCCGTGAAATATGTTGTAATTTCTGCAGTCGTTTCTAATTTTTACAAGAGCAGACAACGGAACAAATTGAATAATTGGACATTTTTCCCTGCAGCATTTTTTTCAGCTCTCATTAAACAGGTTGTCTCATGTCAAGAAAACTCTCTATCCCAGGGCTTTCTCTCCTTTCCAGGTTTCTGTTTCAGGGTTTCTTTTTCAGCTTAGCTCCAGCAAGACATGTCCTAATGTTTCAGTCATCCACGGCTCCAAAACAAAACAAAAATCACAAATTCTTTTGCTCAAATGTCAAAATTCATCAGGCAACTTCAAAATGAAAGTATTGTCATGAAGCTGGAACAAAACTTATCCTAACAAAAGGACAAAATGGATTCTTGTGGCCCCTCCCCCTTCCTTTCAGGTGTATTACTTTCAGATAACAGAAGAACGTGTACGTATAACTTCAATATGATGTTCCCCACCCAGGTAAGCATGCCTATTCCTGAGAACCATATCTAATGACTACTTTGTCTAGAGCAAAGCTTCACAGATTGGTTGCCAACATGTGAATTCTTTTTCCGTTGAATGATGCAGAACTTTGCCAGTGCACACAAAAGGTATTACGCTTGGCTCAAAATCTTTCAGCTGATCTGAGTGCACACAGCTCCATTGGAAACTCAGCATTAGGATCAAAGCAAGAAAATGTCACAAAATTATGCAGGCTAGGTCATCATAATTCTGGAGAGAAAAAAAGTTCTGCTCTAAAAAAAAAAACATAGGTTAGTAATGCCCATGTCTGCCACAGCAGTAAGAATGTAGCATGTCAGCCAGACTTGCTTGAATATGAAGTACTCACGCGTCTTCTTCCATTTTGTTCCCATCTTGATCCCTAGCTAAGGGGACGTTACTACATGTTTTTATGGGGCAAAACATTTCTTGAGAGTATCACAACCTCTGCAACCTGCCCTATTGCCAATGGCGCCTAAAGGCAAGTGTCCTTCGCATGTTGGAGAGACCATGTATATGGTGAGCGGTTGAGAGGGAGTGAATGGTGTGGTTGACAGACAGACCCTGTCAGCTCTGTGCCATTGCTACTGTCATTTTCAACAGGCGTAGCAGCAACAACAACTAAAACATCCTCCCAACTGTTAAACCTGCCCAGTTCAGCCATGGGTGAACCTCTCGATAATTATTACGATATCTGAGTGAAAGGATTTTGAGTTTCTGTCAGAAGTGAAGGTCTGATGGAAGTCACAGTGGTGATGTGTGCTTGAGGGGATAGCTTAGGGGACGGGGAAAGAATTGTGCGCGTGAGATGGTGCTTAGTTAAGACAGTACACAGCCCAGAAGGACGAATGCGGCATTCCAACACAGGTAGGAACTGGCAGTTTTTCCTCTTCAAATGTAGAAACTCTGTCATAAGCACAAGTTTAGTGGTGTTGCTTGCCGAAGGTTGGTTCAGAGAGCATGACTAGATGCATGTTTGTGTAGTTGTTGAAAGTGGGTATAAGTTGACCTGTAGTCCCCTCCAAAGCTTGCACCCGTTAGCATTTAATTTACCAGAACTGTAGATATTGTGGCCCTGTCCCTAGTGCTATGAGGGAAGTGGTCCTGTCAGCATGTCACTATCCATTAGACATACATGTACCTCCTTCTAATGCGTCCTTCCGTCTACTCATCTCACAGGTCAAGGAACTTCTCCTGTCATTCGGCCAGCTCAAAGCCTTCAACCTGGTTAAGGACAGCTCCACTGCCTTGTCAAAGGGATATGCCTTCTGTGAATATGTGGATCCCAACGTCACAGACCAGGTATTGTTCATTCCTTTGGCAAAAAACCATACAGTTTTGTTTATTGAACTATTCGACTTACAATACCCGGTAGGTCTTTTGTGAAGCTACATCATTTCATTTGTTGATTTCTTAGTATGCAGACTGTGTCTTAATTCTAGCCCCTGATCATAAGAACTACTTGTACTCTTCAGGCTATAGCTGGACTGAACGGAATGCAGCTTGGAGACAAGAAGCTGATTGTCCAAAGGGCCAGCGTCGGTGCCAAGAATGCACAGAATGTAAGTATGATGTGTTATATCATGCTGTTGGGAACAATGTTGAAATAAGCTATAAATCTCTATACAGAACCACCAAGTCAGTGGCCAATTAATGGTTGACAGTTGCTACATAATGTCCTAGCATTCTTGTCATGCAGTATAAAGAAAGCAGTAATGGACATGTGTTTTAAGGGACTGGAAGTCTATGTCGCCAGTGCTCCTTGCTTGTTTTTTCATGCATGCTGTTACAGTTTGACTGTTTTCTTTCCAGCAACCTGTCCAGCTACAGATCCCAGGCCTGACCCTGACTGGCAACGCGGGACCCCCAACGGAGGTGCTCTGTCTCATGAACATGGTCATGCCAGAAGAGCTCATGGACGAGGAGGAATATGAAGGTCTGTAAACCTGCCTGTTGTAAAAACTGTCTTGGACAAGCACAGAGATCGTTGATACACTAAATTTTTCCAATCAAGTTTTTTTTTTAGCAAGTGTGAAGTGTCACTGGAGCGTGTTGTTGCTCATAGGTTAGCATGTCTTGGTAAACTCTTATTTTTGATCCTGCTGTTCATTGTGGGTATAGATGCTTAGGTGTGTATTTATGTGTATTTTAGGATCTCAACAGTAGTTTCTCTACTGCCATTGTCTATTGCTAGATCTAAGAAACTACTAGTATGTGCTGACATGTCCCTGTTGTCCACAGATATCCTGGAGGATGTGCGTGAGGAATGTGGGAAGTACGGTGCAGTGTTGAGTGTGGAGATCCCCAGGCCTATTGAGGGGGTGGATGTCCCTGGGTGTGGCAAGGTGAGAAATTTCACAGGGATGGAAATACTGACCGCATATGCACTTTTTGGACCAAAAATTTGAGCTGATTTTTGACTGCGAGTTTGACTAGGCTAACATATGTAACGGTACTATTGTACACCAATATGCAACATATCCTTGTCATTGGTTTTCCTTTAATGCCCATGATTATGATCATTCTGCCATACTCATTTTCACCTGAGTGAAGTGAGAAAAGTCATGTAAAGTGCCTTTCCAAGGGCACAAGACATGTTACATGGCAGGTTTCGAACCTGGGACCTCTTGGTTCCGAAACGAATGCTCTGCCGTTATGCCATTTGACCCCACAGTATCAGTAAAATGATAATACTTTGTTTTACTGGTTCCAAAGTAAGGTATAGAAGTTCAACTTTAAGATATTTCCTAACTTACTAAAATTCTGTATACCATTTCTAACATAGAAGTTTACCTTTTTCCTTACACAGATTTATGTGGAGTTCAGGTCCATCATGGACTGTCAGAAGGCCCAGCAGGCTCTGACCGGCCGCAAGTTCGCCCAGCGTATCGTAGTTACGTCGTACTACGACCCCGACAAGTATCACAGACGAGATTTCCAGTAGAGCGTGATCGATCAGCAGCTTTCTTTTCTCAACACACAGCAGTGGATACATCATAGGACCACCAAACGATAATACAATAGATCTCTGATTGTTTAGTTTTTCTTGCTGTTCATATTGCCTCAGCCCTTGCTAACCCATGTAGCTTTCATTGGTAACTGTGTTCTGAAGTGTAATAGTAAGAAAAATGATCAAGTATATCTCTAGGGCCCTCATGCTGCTTTTTTGAGTACATTTTTGTTACTTCCAGTGTTTTTTGGTCAGCACTGTATATAGTCAGATCATGTGTGGTCACCAGTAAGTTTTGTAGACAATGTTTCATGCTCTTTTTCATCATCCAGTGGTGTTGTATACTAACTTCCTACTTCAAAGCAACTGGACGTATTTGTATGACATTTTGACCGGGGCCACAAAAATGATTCAAACCAAAGCCAGGCTTGTATTAAACATATTCAGGATACTTCGTGTTGAGATTCAGTTGGGGAGGGATATTATAGATACTTGTAGTAGAGTAACATCAGTCATCTGTATTGATGTCTGTTGTTTTGCATCCATAAACCATTTAAGTTTTACAGTTTAACTTTTTAGTACCCTTGTTGTAATGCTGTGCAGAATACACAGGCATCTGTTGTTTGATAGTCCTTGTGGTAAGTGAACATTGCTATTACCAGGATAGTCCTGCCGAGTGACTGAAACTTAGATGTGTAGAGTTCGGCACAGGTTTTAATGTGGCATGTTATGTACATGCTTACTTGTATTGTACGACAGTCTTGGATACAACAAGTCTTTGTAACAGAAAGGTAAATAAAAACAGTGACTGTTGATCATTTTTGACGTCTCTTGATTACAACAGACTTACGATATACACAGTTGCTTCTTACACACATTATTTTTATAGGCACACAGGATTATTTTTTAATGTATTTTTGCATAAGATTCTTTTTAGCCAGGCTTGAGTGTACTGGTATCTCAATGTCATCAATGACTTCAGGCCAAAGCCATTTTAAATCACACCTGTGAGAAGTACAAATCAACAAAACGTAATTACAGATCTTTGGGGAGATTTTGCCACTGAAAACCTGGAACATATCAATTTGGCAATGAATCTAATACATTGTACATGTATATGGAGCCACACTTGAAAACCTTAACAAAATTTCAATCTCAGCACATACATAGTTACACTTACAGTACTGTAAGAGGCAAATGGTAGCAAAATCTATAAAAGCTGCAAACCGACCACGAAGCTAGACTCCTTTCCAGCCTTTATCGTTGTAACCGACAGAGAAGAAGTCGTTAGCAGCATTTCCAGATCTACCGAACTCCTCTTCGTGCACGATGGTGTTGGACTCTGTGTTCATCACAGCCATCCTCCAGGTGAAGTTCATGTTCTTGGGGAGGAAGCAGGATCCCTGAAAAAAACAAAGGACAAATCTGAACCCAAATTTAACTTGTGTGGTCAAGATTTAACCCCAAATAATTGTATCAGGGTGGTGAATGACTGAATAGCAAAGTTCTTCATTCACAACCTCTTTTTTTAACAAGCTGACTTTAATGGCCTGGGCATATAGGCAGGACTTCAATGTCTGTCATCTTCATCTGGGCAATTATGACTGGTTTAATGTGCACAGCTACATGTAGCTTCAGTGAACCAGTCAAAATTACCCTGATGAAAATGACAAGACGGTCGTCAAAAACTGAATGAAGAACTTAGCTCTTCGGTCATGACACTTATGAAGGGTTAAGTCCTACAGAACATGCCATTATGTCTTCTAAAAATGAGTCTAAAGCATTTAATAGCACTTCTAAAACCTGTCTGTATGTCTACACGACTTAACGAAAGTCGCTGTACTCTTGTTGTGTCAATAAAGCTCTTCTAAAACCAAGAGAGCCTGTTTACCAGCCAAACTTCAGCCTGTTGATGCTCCATCCTCAGCCCCTGCAAAGGGTCCCTCTTCCCCAGGGGGATGAGATCACCTGTGACAATGGGCTCCTCGTGAGGGTGCAGGCCGCTGCAGTGCACGCGGAATGTCACTAGGTGGCTCTCGCAGGGCACCAGCTCTGTATCATATACATAGCAAAAGTGTTGAAATTCCCCAGATAAATCTTGCAATGAGAAGGCTATACCATGAAGCACAATGTATTTTCCATAACACAACCATAGCATACACATATTCTGTCAAACTGCAAAAACATGTCATTGTTAAAAGAACATGTCAGGAGCTTATTATAATACAAATGTAGAAGCTAACCTTCCCTGGAGAAAAGGAACATGTTCTTGCGAACTGAGATGAACTGGTCGTAATGCCGTGCTACGCTGTTGCCCACGGCTGACCAATCATCATCCAAGTCTACCTCGTAAACCTCATCAGGGGTGTAGTTGTCGATTTCCACCTTCAAACATGGGAAACAGTCAAACACTCTATCTCTTTACATGAACTTTTACAACAGTTTCTTTTGTAGGTAGGAACTTTCAAGCCACTACACAAAGGCACCATACTATTGGTCTCTACTTACATAGGCTGCTAAGAAAAGAGTAATTGGCCTTAGGTGTTAGCCAGGCCAACTGGAGGTCCTATGCTGAAAACAGACATCTACAACCACCATGCACCAGCGCTAGCTTCTTATGCCTTTGGATGACAGCAAGTTAGCAACCTACTGAGTCAGGTAGACACTACCATACTATATGTTATCTTCAATTCAAAACTTTGTTGTTATTTATCGCTTGTACAGTCAGACCAGTACAAGTGATACATAAGGTACACCTGGCACAAATGTCATTACTTTTGGTTGTACCATTGTCACAAAAATCCTAGTATAGTGTCCACATTTTAACGGCCCCCTGAGAAGTGTTCTTCCAGAGTTTTAGGTGTAGTTCACAGTGTTACCTGAGCGAGAACACAGGGTTCCTCCTCCCCGTTGATGGTAGTTGTGGTGAGGAGGAAGTTGTCCAGGTGGTCCTGGATCAGGTCTGTGTGGATGGACGGGTTGTCTGCACCTGAGTCATAGTACAGGTCTGGCACCTGACAGGAGAGGAGGGAATATCAGAGCAGTGCAGACACCTTGTGTCAATAGTGTGTCAACTTAATGTATCATGTCAGTGTTGAATGTGTGGATGGTTGTGGTCTTCAGGCACACCTGTGTTACCTTGATTTATTCATCAGCTGTGGAGACAGTCGCCACACATTTTTTTTGAATATTCGTTTCCCAAAAAGCCAAAGATAGAAAAATGATATCAATGTCTTGCTTTGGCACATTTTATATTGGACGTGTAACGTTATTTGGCTTTCTGAACTACTATGATTTTGTAAAGATGTTCCCTTCTTGATACAGTTATAGGCTAATACAGTTGCCTCAATTTCATCTACCTTGTACCACAACTTTTAACCTTAATACACCTTTAATATTAACTTCAAAGGCCTTGAAATACTGGTGCAAAACAACTCTGTGATATCGGCACTACATGTATTACTAACTAACGAGGAACTACAGGTCTTGTGCTCAAGTATTTACCTGTATCTCACATAAAGGACTGCCGTCCTTCAGGTTAGTGGAGAGAAATTTGCCACTGGTGCAGAACGAAACTTCGTGCCCCACATCCTCAGACACGTTCCCGATGCTTTTCTTCTTCTTCTTCTGTCGACACGCGGCGAAGGAGTCCTCCTGGCCGACTCTAGTGAAGAAGACGGTGTTGAGGGAGGAATATCTGGGGATGTCCAGGCGGAGGGCGCTTTGGTACGACTCAAAGAGCAGGACCTGTGGCTTTTGTACATCTGCGTTGTAAATGGCCGCAATCTTGCCCGCTTCTTTCTTCAGTAGCTGGTGCCGGTGCACGTTGAAGTACTGATTCTTCAGGTTCCCCACGGCACGGAGGATAGACCTGGCAAACGCCATGTTTTTCTGCAGGGTACAGTGACACACTTCTCGTCCCTCCCACCCCTAAGAGGTCGAAGTTCAAGGTAAACAAAACAACGGCAACTTGAAACCTTGAGCAACAAAACGCCTCACATCGGTTCAATTTATACTGTTGCTTTTATGTTTCCTATAATCACTAAAAACATTTGCCGTGTTTTGTATATGCTTTATAACGCCAATATTCTATTCGTGACGCTGAATGACCTTAATTTCACGTTTTTAAGCAGTTATATCGGATAACACGATCACGATGCGTACGTGCACATTTTCAAGTGCGGAAGCTACTTGGAGGTCAGAGGTTGATGGACTAACCTACTTCGAACGATAGGGGGCGCAGGATATTACTAGTAGTACTACTAGCAAGGTTCGAGTAAGAATAACTGTAAAGTCATAACAGGAAGTTCAAAAGATTAAAATAACTCTTCTATTGCTCTACATTGATAGTATTCTCATTAACTATTTCCTGTCTTAGATTATCCTTCATAAAGTTACATTTAAAACATTCTCATTCATTCACTCACTCCATCAGGCTTGCTCACCACACAAAACAATTCATCTGGTGATTTAGTTATGTGTTTATTTTGAGAAATGATACCTTGCTTCAGATATAGTGACATTTTCCTAATCATCTGTATTAACTGGATAATTGATAACAATTTATCAAAGGTACTCTTGTTGGCAAAATAATATGAACCTTCTTCATGTCATTTGAAACTGCTGTGTATTGCTTGTAATGGCAAGTTCCAAACAAAAGGTTTTATTACAGAACTGGATGTTTAAACAAGAACTCTCACCAGAATCGAAACTTAAAAGTGTCCATCACTACATTAGGATAAAATACTACATTACAAGACAATAGAGCTCCTAACAAAAGACATGAACTTCAATCATTCATAGTGACAGTAACTTATTCAGTCTCTTCCTAGTGGTTGCTCTGACAATAATTACATGTAGTCAGAAAAATTGTTTTGCAACTACATTGTTGCATATTTGAAAATACATCTTACCAATAGTATTGACTTCATGAAGAGAATTACACATCAAGGAATATAATATAGGAGAAACTGGGGTTTTGCAATTTTGAAGGGAATATGCCTTAAAACCTTTAAATATGGCAACAGGTTAAGTTTGTCAAATTTTGACAGAGAACTTTATTCAGGTAGACTTCACTATTACCAATTATGCTGCATTGGTAGAGACATTTATGTTCTGTGGGGTAGTCTATCCGATGTATTGATAGATGCTGCTCAAAAATATCATGCTTCCTTCACATTATCTCATTTTCCTTTGTGAAATATGGAAAGACAACAGAACAAATTTCAGCTCCAAATTTAACAGCCACAAAGAAATGAGTTACAGATAAATTCAGTTATGTTTCCTTTTCCCCTTGGCAGACATAGGTGTTGATGGTTTGGAGCCCTTCCCTGCAGCTTTCTTCCCCACAGGTGTTTTACCACCTGACTTCTGCCCCCCCACAGGTGTTTTACCACCTGACTTCTGCCCCCCCACAGGTGTTTTACCACCTGACTTCTGCCCCCCCACAGGTGTTTTACCACCTGACTTCTGCCCAGGAGTAACCTTCCATACCCCTGTCATCGGGGTGGTGGGCATGGGGGTACTGCTTGCTTTGGGTGTACCCATGGATTTCGGTGTGGCCTTCTGAGGAATGTTCGCAGCTGCCCTTGGAGTACCCTTCTGTTTGGGAGCAGCTTTGGGTTTCCCACTTGTGCCTTGCTTGGTGACTGGAGTTGTCTCCATCTGGGGTTTCTTCGAGGGTGTAGATTTGGGAGTGTTCTTCTTCAGGGCTTCTGCCTTCTCTACAGCCTTGATGTTCTTCCTTGGGGATGCAGCAGGCTTACCTGATGTAACAATCAAAGCAAAGATGCTCAACATACATGTTGCACTTTTCCCTGACAACTACTTGATAAAAATATTCTGGTGAAAATCTGGATCAACATGTCTTCTATTTACCATTTACATGTACTTCATACTTGACAAAAAAATCGAGAAAAGAGCCTATCACAGCTATTCTGAATGTTATCAGTTTTACCTGATTTCACAATTTTTCTCTTTTTCGGAGGTGTTGGCTCATCCTCATCTTCCTCTCCTTCCCCCTCCGACTCTTCTTCACTCCCTTCTTCACCTTCTATCAGTTCCCATTCATCACTTTCATCTGTTTCTTCTCCCTCCTCAGCTTCGTCATCTATGAAGCTGTCTTCCTCCTCTTCATCATCATCTTCCTCATCATCATCACTCTCAAACTCCAGCTCAGACTCATCACTGTACATCTCCTCATCCTCATCCTGTACAGAACAAAGTTATTGTAGTCTGGTTATCAAGATTAACCCTCAGCATGCTAAAATATCTCCACAACTCTCCACAAAGTTACATCATTTCACAAATACATGTAGTCCACCAGGTTGAAGGTGACAGTGCCATCAGATACCCTTTTACTCAATATCTTTTGCAATCACAATGTTGCCAAAAAAGTACCTCACACAGGAGGCCATACCAATTTAATTTGTCAACAAAAAAAACCAAACATTTCAGGATCAACTCCAAAATACTCATACATTGTATTTTGGCCTCAACAGTTGAAGAAAGTCGATTCTTTTACAGTTTTTTTCCATCTACCAATGCAATGGTTTGATTAGGAGTCTGAAATTCATTGTTTAAATTACAAACCAGTCTGGTATGTTGACTTCAGTGTAGTGATGCATACCGGTTCACTGGACTTGGATCTGGACTTGTAAGAATGTTTAGGTTCAAGTCCAAAAAAACCTAAAAGTCAAGAACCGAGTCCGGACTTATTACCATAAAAGACCATTACATACCCCTTTTCTTTCCAAACCACCTAAAACCTTCCGTAGATTGTAAAATCTTTGCTGCAAAACGAAGAAAACATTGCCATAGGGCATCGTCAAGTACCGGCCTCCATGTTATGTGGCCAAAGTTTCACCCAGACAACATTGCAAGGTTGCCAACATGCAATTTTGTATATTGCCATGGGTTTAGGTCCGGACTTACAAGTCCGGAACTGAACCTAAACCTCTGGACTTGAATCCGGACCTGAACCTAAAATTGGGTTTAGGTATGCATCACTACTTCAGTGTGAAAAAGTTGAATGATTGATTACCTCATCTTCTTCCTCTATAACATCATCATCATCATCATCCTCTTCGTTCTCTTCCTGTTCCTTAACCTTGTCTGCAGTGACTGCTTTGCCCACCTTTGACTCTTCCTGTGGCTGCTGTTTTTTGGCCGCCCCAACAGCTTTGGTGGTCTCTGCTTTCTGCTTCTGTACCTTCCCAGCTTCCTTTGCTTTCTCATCTTTGGTATCCTGTCCATTTTGAATCTTCATTGGCTCTGGGACTTTCTGTGCTCCTTTTTTGCTGCTGCTTGTTTCTTCTGTTTCCCTGCCGACTCCTGATTTGTTCTCTGATCGTCACCTTGCACTGGTCCCTCTTCAGCATTCTCTTTTCCTTCCTCTGACTCCTTTTTCTTCTGTTTCTTACTCTCACCTGGTTCCTCAGGTGTCTTCTTCTTGCCTTCTGCCGTGGCCTCTTCAGTCTTTGCCTGTAACGAAAATCATATTGGTGAAGTAAATAAGATGTGTCATTTTTTATTGCTGCTGAAAAAAACTGATCTAAATCACAAATATAAACTAGAAATGTAACATTTGCAAAGCAAATGCATGTTTATCTTCGCATATGGTCTACTGGAACACATTCATATATATGGTGACAGCAGTCTAAATCCCTCCTACTATAAAATTACAACATTATGTGAACCTACACTAGTTACCATGGTGAGAGACGTCTGGTTCAGGTCATTGACCTTATTTGTTCGGAGAAGAAGAAACTGAGAAAAAACAATGTTTTCCTTCGGTAAACATAAATCCCTGGAATACAAAATTCTAAACGAGTACAACATACAGCTTGCTTTGATTTCCTTTTCTTCTTCCTGTTCTTTCTCTTCTTTGAGGCCTGACGGTCCTCTTGGTTCTGGATCCTCTCCTTCCGCCAGGCAGCGATGGTTTCTGACGACACCTGGAGCGGCTCCATGTTCACGTAGACTGGGAGAGCTGGGGACTTCTGAGACTGAAACATGGATGTTTACAGGAAAACATCAATAGAAAGATATCGCCAACATGTGACAGCCTTCGAGAATAGTTTCGTCAGGTTTAATTCAGAATTGCCCTAAGGATAAAAAAGGAAGGTGACAGATAGTCACCAAAATATTGGCTGTGAATAAGTCCCTTAACTCCTGTGACACCTTTGCATATAGATAAACTTTCATACAATCATGTACATCTGGTCATAGATAATTTTGCTCATAGTTTGATTTAGACAATCGAAATACATCTGTGAATTCTCTTGATCATAGGCCAGAAGACTGGCTTTGAAAAACAATCCATTCTCATACTGCTCGTTTCCATACTCCAGCAGAGTCAACTCACAGCTTCAATCCATACTATCTTTCATACAAATGGTCTTTGATACTTAAGTTACATACCTTAATGCTGACTGACTTCATGTTGGACCAGCCAAACTCTAGTTTGTTTCCCAGCTCTTTAGCCACAGCCAGCACATTTTCTTTCACCTGTTCTGCTGTCATACTGGTGCTGCCCACCATTACAGAGCTGTAACAGCCATCAACAAAGATTAGTTAGACATTATAACTACAATCTGTGAGACCCAAAAATACAGCTATTTTAATAAATGAGAATTGGAAACTTCTAAATGAACGGTGTTACTGTACAACTATGACATATCATTTGGTGTAGTTGTATCCATGTACTTGTCTGGAATACCGGTATACAGTACATGTATGGGAAAGTAAATTATTCAGGCAACACTTAGTCCATGGCAACAAGGAACCACGACAATACATATTATGACAGTTTAAATGTAGCATTGTGTGTGACAAGTAAGTATACCCTCTTCTTTACAAATACCGTAGTAAATATGGAAATGTTGCTCGGTTGTTTGCTAATACTGACCTACAGGAGCCATGTCCAGTGATTGTACACCTGGTACTGCCCATGACACGCTGGAACTCTTCCTTCAGGTTCTTCTTCTCCAAGTTCACATCAATAGGGAACCTGGACAGAACAGGGTCAAGGCAGACATGGCTAGCTTGCTACTTAATACTCGTACTAAGCACAATAGTTACTACTAAACACAACAGCAAACATTACAAATGATTAGAAAAGAGAACGTAATTAGTTTAATGTATTGAAAAAAAAGCTTGTGGATGATGCAAGCATTATTTCTCACCAACAGTTGCCTTTCTATAATATAAGTTTGGCTTGAAAATGATTTGCTCCTTACTTTATTGCATCAATACATAATTTCTAATTTTCTCCTACAGACACAAATTACTGGTACATGGTAACGTTACCTTTATTGAAAATCTTCACATATTTACAGAAAAATATCAATTCTAATATCTAATTTTCATCAATAATAGGTTTTCAAACTTTAGGTTCGGATTTATGGACAAGTAGCTACAAAAGATTATATGTAGTACAGCAAAACAGTGACTTAACACCAAAACGTATCAACGTAACTTACTTCTTGGCAGCGTAGAAGTGTTTTCCCAGATGGGAGGGGAGCAACCGGGTGACTGCTCGGTCTGAGAGGAACAGGTCGAAGGACTTGAGCAGACGTAGCTTGGACTCATACTGCTTATACTCCTTAGCCAGCTTGTTGTAAGAGATAACCTGTGCAGTGGAGCAGTGGAAACTGGTTAGGCATCAGAAGCAAGCCATATCACACAATCATTACTAGTTGTACAAAATATATTCTACTTCTTTTTAAACTTTGTTCAGTTTCTATTACTGTAAATCACTTTATATTGCAAATTTTTGCCTGGTGTCCAGCCTTGTTAGCTTTGGTCCGCTCCCCAAGATCCGCTCCCCGCCAACAAGACTGGGCGCTGTTACCATTCAAACGATTTCAGCAGGCGCACGTAATGAACTAGTTGGCCGGGTAGCGGATCTTTGGGAGCAGACCAAAGCTAACATTAGGCTTGACACCAGGCTACGCAAATGTACCATTACCGTAAATTTTCTTCCTTCTGCACCTGCCACCACCACGAACATATAGTTCCACGCGAACGAAACATGATGTCCTTTTTTCTCAGACGACGAAATTTTGCTACAGCGAATATAAAGTGATTTACAGTATATAGTTATCAATCATTATATAATATCATACAGTCATGCTGGTCTGGTACTGTAAGAGACTAGTTTCAGGTCCAGACCTCGTTGACACACGTGACTCCCTTTTTCTTGAGCAGGTCCCTGTAGTACAGCTCAGAAGTGGGGAGTTCTGGCTCCAGGTTCTTCCTGTCTCGGGTAAACAGGCACACCTCCCGGGGCTTCTGAATGATGTGAGGAAGTTTTCTGCAAATGCAACCATTGTGATTATTCATCTATGCAGATCCGAATACATGACATAAATTCATAGATATTCATAATAAACAAGGAGGTTAAATACACTTGTATTTAACCGTGTAATAAACTATTAGAATAATAAAATTGTAAAAATAAAATAATTTAACAAAACAAAACATGACTATTTTGTTGAGTTTGTGTTTGTTTGTTTTTTTAACTGAATAAGCAGGATTCTTTAAGATAGAGCAACACCCACTTCCTAGCACCTGTAATAATACATGTACTTTAGATTGCCATGAGTATCAATAAAGTACTAGTATGAAGAATCTTGCTTTTTTTAGTTGCCAAAAGCATCTTTGCTTGGATCATAGTCCCAGATTCCCAATCAAAAATTATCTTTATTTTATCTACATTTTTAAGTTCAATGTAGAATGTACGTGTATTGCTTTGGTAAGACAAATGCGGAGTTTTCTTACATAAGATATTTCTGGTTCTTGTCCTTTGGGATCCTTTTGACTGAGAACTGCATGAACACGGGCATGGCCGCTTCATCGTCCAGCAAATCTTTCTTTCCCTTCTTCTTCTTCGTTCCTCTCTCCTCGTGGAAAGTTACCAGGGCCTTGGCAGCCTTTGCAACCTTTAGGGGAAAAGAAACTCTGTCAGCTGACTAGAAGAAAAGAAAGCTATGGCGAATTATGAGAGACTTTGCAAATAGTGAGGCGTGCGTGCACGTGTTTGCAACTTTTTGCTAACGCAACACTGCTTTTTGGAACCGCCATATGACGGAGGTCCATTAAATACACACCAAAAGATGATATTAAAGTAAAACCAACGTTAGACCGTGCTTTGAAGTATGTTTGATCTCAATTTTGCCCCAAGAAACGCTACAATTTCAACATCACTAACCTGATCATCGTCCAACGTCGCCATTTTCTTGCACGCCACGTGGGACTGTACCATGCAGCCGGGGTGTTTAGTTTTGTTCTAAAGGCAGATATCATTTCTTTCAATGAATCAAAAAAGAGAGTAATAAGCCATATTTTACGCAATCTTAACATTTTTATCATATTTTAGTGTTTATTTTTTGATTATATTAACGTTAAGCTATAGAAAAATATTCGGGGTAAATCTTACCCTAAATGATGAATAGAATGTTCTCGGAGGTCAGTAAGTTGAAAGTTGACCTAGAGGTCAGTGCTGTGGCGTCTGCTGCTGGTGTCAACAACTGTGACAACTTCTCTCTGCGCTTTCTTCGTGATAATTCAGCTTTAACAGGTAACAGCAGGCAACACCGTTAGCTAGCACACCGAGAATCATTTCTATGCCTAGAAAACACTATGTTTACTTGCTGACATAACTTTGTGGGTAAAGTCTTGTCCACTTTTAGAAAGGCCCAACTCACTGTTACTCAGGGATAATCTAGACGGTTGATCAAAGTCCACACACTACAGGTAAGGAACGATGTCTTCACTTTATTTGGGAGACAACTAATACAAATATTCTTAACGATTTGTAGTACGTTCCAGAGGTGTTGACGACTCTGTTTTCCCCCAGCACGATGTCGGGACTAGTCCGCAGACTGGGGAAGGTGGGTGTGGACACCTCAGCTCTGTTCCTGTGTGACATGCAGGAGAAGTTCCGACCCAACATCAGATACTTCCCGCAGATAGTACATGTGGCGTCAAGGATGCTCAAGGTACCTACTAACCGACCGCACCCCCTCCTGTGCACCTTTCTACAATTTTGGGAGTGTTAAATACCAATGTTGAGATTCAGAGCATAGAATTGAATAAAACCAGGTGCTATCAGAACCAAAAGTGTGACATTAAGACTTTTATCCATTTGTTTCTTTCAACCTTAGAAAAAAATCACCACTTCACAAGAACAACTTATCCCGACAGACAGGAATGATCATGAATGGAGGAAAATTATAGTAACATTTTTTTTTCATCAGTTTATCAACTGTTTATGTACTCATCCTATATCCTTTATCACCAGCATGATTGATATTGTTTATAGGTATGCCTTGACAGTTGTTTATAATGAGGAAGGGAATCAATAAACCAATCAATTAATCAATCAATAAAAAAAATCAATCGCAAGCATCGATGTCTGATGCAGACAATATTTAAGGGAATAACTCATCATCATCATCATCATCATCATTCATCCTCCGTAGAGGTGGAGCATACAAAGTTAGTTCGCCACAACTGTCTGTCATACATCACTGAGAAAAGTTCATGTCCCTCCAAGCCAGTTTCAGTTTCAATAAGGGAATAACTACCAGGAATGTATTATGATGTTATGTATTATGGTCACTACAGCCATAGCCTTTGTTCTTTATTTCGTCCTACCAAGGTGGTTTAAAAGACTGGTCCTGCTATTTCAGGCAGCCCAGATCCTGGAGATGCCTGTAGTAGTGACAGAGCAGTACCCCAAGGGTCTGGGCCCAACAGTGGCGGAACTGGGCGACATCAGCGGGGCCAAGAAGGTGTCCAAGACCTGCTTCACCATGTGTGTTCCCGATGTCATGGAACACATCAGGCAGTCTGCTGGGGTGAAGTCTGTTATCCTGTGTGGCATCGAGACACAGGCCTGCATACAGGTCAGATCTTACATGGAAAACAGCACAAATATGACTTCCCCCTTATTTTATTATATTAGCTGCCTGCTCGTTTTTAGTGAGGACAGATTTTTCATAAATGAGATCTAATTCTAAATCTTGTTTGCAAAAGTTGTTGAAATTATCGTGTCACCAAGAAAAACAGGAAAATTTTCTTTGATCTTCTTGCCTCAGAGAACTGCACTAGATCTGCTGGAGCAAGACTTTGACGTGCACGTCATCGCAGACGCGGTGTCGTCTCGCTCCATGGTGGACCGCATGTACGCCATTGAGCGACTGCGACAGAGCGGAGCCTTCATCACCACCAGTGAAGGTCAGTACTCCTTATTTTATCCTAGTCTCCACAGACTGAAGTACTAGTAATTCATTACTGGCTCGAATACAATAAGTAACTTTAATTAAATCCAACCATGCATGCTATACCTGCTGCACTTCCGTTTTGACAAAGCATATATAATGGTATATAATGGTCTTCACTGCTGGATTCCAACCCATAGATTACTGGCCAGAGCAGTTTTGGTGGCAAAACAGTTTCCTCAGCCAGCTGACTCCATTACCAAATTATTTGGACAAGTTTCTGTCAACTCATCTCATGCAGTCTACTGGAGATTTCAGTCCAAAATCTAGATCCTTCTGGTACTTGACAATTTTGATCTTGAAGTTGCTCCCATTGTCAGTGATTTGCATGGCTATTATAAGCTGTCAGTTAAATCTATTTCTTAACATGTGATCTCTACAGGGATGCTGTTGCAGTTGCTCGGAGATGCTGCTCATCCCAAGTTCAGGGAGGTTCAAAAAGTTATCATGGAGTCTGCACCAGACACGGGCCTTCTCAGCCTCAAGTCAGAATAGTCCTGAACATGGCTGCTGGAAAATGTGATCCTGTGTGAACCCTCCTTGTTCGCAGCTGTGATTGGATGAAATACTGCCATTCAAATCAGAGTATGCAAATTATATGTAGCTGTAGAAGCTAGAACAATGTTGAATTATGGGTTGATAATGAAAATAATATTAAGATTTTGATGTAAATTCTTCCTTGTTTCAATGTCCTTCCAATCTTCTAAAATTGTAAGAGCCTGTAGATCCTACACACCCACAGGATAGGGTTGGTACAACAAAGGTAACAAATATACTATCTACAATGACTTTGTGAAGCAGTGAATACACACCATCTGCATTAAAACATTTTTATTACTAAAAAAAAAAAACAGTGATTCTCATTGCTCACTTCCATGCCCTGTAGGTCATAAGCGACTTACAAGCATCAGGCAACAGCAGTAAATATCAAGCAAACATAAGGTCTCATTCATACCAGTAGATAATCATGGATCTCAACATTTCATAAATGCAGACATTCTTCATGACTTTAACACAGGATATATCGTGATAGTTATTGCAAGTGACGGAATCTTCTGCCTTTCATGGTCCTTCACTTCAGTGTAGCCTGTTTCGGAGGGCATGAAAAATAAAAATATGTATATCAACTGCCATATTCTTACCGGTGCGCATGTCACAGTACTAGGCAGTTTGTTGGGAAGTTACAGATGACATCTTCATCAGCTAGTCTAGCAACTGTCTACTTTTCCTCCAAAGCCTTCCTTGTATCTAAGTGCACTCAAGGAACTATCTTCATGAATGAACTACCAAAATCATCAGAACATAAACTAAAGAATCATCATCATGGTGATCAAACACACATAAATATAATGCCGTGGCTCAGGAGTTCGAGCAACACAAGTTGCATGGAATCCACATGTAATATAGGGGTGTGATAAACTAGTGGTTTTTGAATGAATCTCCCTTAAAACAGTGAGATTTTACCAAGAATGGCAATCATTTTTGACGTGGATACTAGTATTCTAATGAAAGGGTCTTTCCTTCTTTCAAAAAACGTCTGGCATTGTCTGACATGTTTAGCCTAGCAGCATTTTCTGCAAAAGCCATTTGAAGGAAAATACAACAGAACACATACAGTGTACATCATGTACATCCACCAGACTTGAAAAGTGTGTTGACAATTGTTTAGGACAGGCGTGAATGCTATAATTATCAAAGGAAATACATAACATATGCTGGCAGATTGATTTAATTACATACCAATCATCATCATTCTGAATAAAGCTTGATTACTTTTACTTAGAACAGGTGTAACATGATAAATCATAAATGCATAGTACTAGGAGTGAGTTCTATATTCGTACACAGGCTGAACAAGTCTTGCTGTAGCATCCACATAATTCCAGAAATATCGCAAGCCCCTCATAGTCCTGTACTACTGTTGTATTGCTACCGTACATAAGGAATTCAAGCAAAACCAGCACCATTTTGTAAGTGCTGAAAAAGGAACATGGTGCCAGAAATTTCCTCATGAAAAGAAAAGGTCTATCCATTTCTCGGTGTTACCAGGCAGTATCATTTTGCCAACAGCTTTCACCCTTCCATTGTCAAGGATACATAACATCCTGCCATGTAAAAATTCAGTGCTTTTCAACTTGTTTGTTAGGACCTTTGTATAAAGCTTTAAAGGCAATACACACACACACACTAACACACTGTACTTGGAGATGTCCCTCAAGAGAAGGCAGCAACAATCTGAAGACTGTAATGTTTTCCAACAGAGCTTCTCTTGGTAATGAAAAGTAAATAAAGGTGTACTATTACAATAGATAAACTACATGGTGTTGTCAGGTACACAGTCATGGGCCCAATACCATGCTTTCATTCACACTGCACATCCTCACACTAACAAAAGGCCACTATCATTTCATTTCCCTGGTTCTTCGCTTTTCTCGGAATCAAGATAAAGCAGACTGATTACATGAAAATAGATCCTGCTTGTATTATTGTAGTACTCCAATATGCAGCATTGGAATACTTTCATGTCACCATGCTTCATGTTTGATTTCTAAGAAAACCTACAAAGAACCAAGGAAACCTAAGGATGTGGCAATATATGCTGTTTTCTACATTTATCAAAATATTTGCACAAATCCTTTCTATCATCCCCCCCTCCCTCCCAGCCCAACCCCAACTTATATAGAAATTTGTCACAAACGATTGTTGTAGCACATACATTTTGTATACCTTCATTTACCAGGCTTCGGTCAGGCCTAGAATGCAGAGTCTCCCCACTACCAACACCAGGCCTGGTACACGTGAGCACTCAGATTTCCACATCTGATTAGGAAATATCAGTTGAAATTCAAATTCACCCACATACAAACTCTACCCCCCTAGCCAATATATACCTACATGCAGCAACGTCAACGGTTTCAGTGTTTCCCAAGGACTTGCATTTCTCAAATCACTCTTGCTGTAGTATTACAAATGTTATTGTTTCGTAACAAACACAAATATGCTTCAATGTCACCTTTCCAATCACAAGTAATGAGAAGAAAACAAAAATGGCAGAGTAAAAGACACATGATGTGATCTAACAACATTGCCCTTCACAACTGCCTTGTTCATGAAAATTTTCTTCCAGCTTTATCTGTTATATGTCTGCAAAGGATAAAAATAAGTTAATTTTCATCACTCCTTCCGTCAGTGTATGCTTCTTAATGTGTGGTACTTGAGAAGGCTAAGATATATAGGCCATGCCAAACTATACAGTCAATACTATGCTTCCCAAGACACTTCCCAGTAGATGTACAGTAAATCAAACTGAACATCGTCTTTGTTTTGCTGCTGAAGTTCAGCATGAATCACAACATCCATCTCCCACACATTGCATTGTTAATAAGAGGAGGTAACAGAAGTGGTCAGTGCATTGTTTATTGTGCATCTCAACAGCTCCCTGCTTTGTGTGACCGCAGGACTTGTAATGTTTGTCATTTTGCCGTCGGTGGAGAAAGCAAGGGAACTGCAAGTTACAGGAAAACACTGAAGGTAACTTTGTTTTTTTTTCTTTAGTCGGCATGCTATTCAACTTTGGTAACAAGGGGAACTGCTGACTGCTCCAAGATTTTCCTTATCAAATCACTTCTGTTGTAGGTAACTAAGGACAGCATATCTGCCCTTTTGCTACGAGGTAATAGCTTTCATTGAAAAAAAAATTATGAATGTCTTCTAAGTATGTACAGAGGACCTGTACACAAGCTATACCTGGGTGTGTAAGAAGCTACTAGGAGGCAGTCAACACATCCACCAAGTTACAGCCAAAGTTGAAAAGCCACCATATAGAATTCTCTCTATCTTTCCACTATAAAGGCTTGTTTAACACTCCCCTTCTGTCCAAGCTATACAACATTATGGCGCGCTGCTTTTACACTCACTATTTTACTGGGCGGTTCTGTGCTGATCACTATCTTTAACGTGGAAGAATTTCAGAACCATCCTTCCTTACATTAGCCTATATTCAAGAGATGATTTTGTGACGTGAAACTTAAACGAAGGCCAGGCCCCGAGCCTATTAAAATCTCGGAGTGGCTTGAAGCCCCGGCCCAATGAAGAGTGGAAGGATTGAGAGTCCTCTTGCTTGACCGGATGTCTCAAGCTCTGGGTTGTCTGGGGTCACCTCTTATTCCAACAGCTTCAGCACCTTGCCAACAGCAATGGTTTTACCTGCAGGAAAGGACACAAGTTTGGGAGTTGGTCAAAGGCTTGCTTACACTAGCGACTACAGTGTACATGTTTACCAAAAGGACTGTGGCTGGACATTCTTACCACCCATCCCATCCCAATTATTCAATTAAATCTGGGGGAGAGTAATTCAGTCGGGATTCGAACTCCCAACCTCTTGGTTCAGACTTCAGAGGAAGTCCCTAACCACTGGACTATGCACACTACAAAACTACGGGTCATGTTGAGTTAAAACTAGGCTGCTTCTAACCTTCATCTCGTAGAGTGAAGCGGCCCATTTGGGGGAAGTCCTTGAAGGTTTCGATGCAGATGACTCCCGTGGTCTCCAACCGGGCAATCACAATGTTGTCCTGCTTGATAAACCGTGGCCTTGGCTTTGTCTTGTCCACCTTGCCAGTCTTCCTGTCCACCAACGCTAGCAATAGCTGGACATAAAATGCAGAGATGGACAATATTTAAACTCCTCAAGATGCAAGATACACAATTTAAGTTGTACGAGTCAGTAAACAGAGCAGAGACAAGGTGAAGTGTAACCTCATAAGGTACCCATTACAACCAACAGTACATACTAACCAACACATAATAGCACCACCTGGCATACGCACCTTGAACTGCACCTCCTCCACGCAGGCATGACAGTGCATAACACAGCTGTAGCCGGCACAGATGATGGACTTGTGTTCCAGGATCACCACCTAGAAGGACAGAAACATTCTGTATCTGTATGGCCAGCATAACTGTCCTTTCGCATAACACACCAGCTGAGTTGGTCAACCATGAGAAGTGTGGAAATTTTTCGAAAGTTGACAGTGAAATGTGTCATGTATTGCATTTTAGACAAGCATGCTGGAGTGGATCTATGCTTAACATAGGTGTTGTAACATGCAGAGGTTTCAGCCAAGTGTCCCCAATACACAGGGACGAAGGCTTAATGTCGCCTATCAAGGACATCCTGTATTTCCCTATCTACTTCATCATGTTCATATGGAAACTACAGTGTTACGTATAGCTAACGTACCTGAGCATCAAAAATCCTCCCCGTGTTGCACACATTCTCTGGTGAACACAACACGAAACCTGGGATGATGTCCTACAGGAGGGGGACAGGGATCACAGTTAACACGGTTTGCATTTTGATAACCTCGTTGCTGAAATGCATCCAGGATCCTAATACAATAAGTCATTCGAAACTGACAGTTTCTTGTCTCTCTAATAATAGTACAGTCTTAAAAGCCTGATGCATGAATTAACTACAAGAATGCACCATAAAAACTTACCTCTTCCTCGATACCCTTGAGCCTCAGCTTCAGGTTCTCCCCGGGAATGGCACTTTCCACTTCATTCTCATCTGACTGGAGGGCCAGGATTTCTACGCTTGTCTGAAAGAACAAAATGTGTGATTATTTGCCATGTTAAAGTACAAAATCTATTCTTCATATTTGTATTGGTCTTTACCCTAGACACTTCCCAACACATCCCATTTACAACTGTTGACACTAAATTTGTATTGATAAGGCTTAGGGAAAAAAATGTTTCCTGTTTCAGCCCTGAAAAAATAGGGTCGGTAGGTAGGGATTATCTTTTTTTTCTTAGATTTAGGGGACCTCTAGTGTTCCAACATTATAGTGTAAGGAATTAAAACTTGCATGAGGACACTTATATTTTAAATGTCAATGTTAGGAAACCAATTGTACAACGTTTCATCACTCAGATGTCAGATCATGGAGCTAGAAAAGGTTGATCAGCTTGAAAAATGCATGTCCTTTGCAGGGATCCACAAAAAAAAAGTCTGGCTAGAATTGGCAGGTTTTTCTAGGGTCAGTCAGGAAACAAGAAATAACTTTTTTTCCTAGGCCTAAGGGAGATAGGTACTAGCAGGGAGAGTTAACTAGTATGCTGCTATCAGTATACTATTGGCTGTGTTGTACATTTTGTACCTTGTTTGGCATGAGTACTAGCTGCATGCCTCTGGCCAGAGTTCCTGACTCCAGTTTGCCCAGTGCCACCGTGCCCATGTCCTTGTATCTGTCTGTGATAGGCACTCGGATGGGGGCCGTCCACCCTTCTGTCAATGCTTTGCAATTCATCTAGGTACTGGATAAGGGGTGGACCACTGTGGATGGAAAGTGGGATCAGACACTTGGCAAATTTACAAAGTGTTCTATACAGTCTTCACTGATTTCTACTGTCATTTATGATCACAAGGAAAAATGAACGGCAAATATGGTACCAAATCGTGCTTATAAAAATGTAAAACTATTTAAACTGTACAAACAGTTCATGAAAATTGGCATTTCTTTGAGTAATGAAGGAGGACACCTACAAAAACAGTGTTATAACCTTTGGCCACAAGAAATGTTGCTATACTGATATTTCTTGTCCTTATGTCTGACACAAAAGTTGTAAAAAAAGAATGTCTAGTTTTCAATAAGACTGTCAAAGTGTACTTACCTGTACCAGGGACAGATCTCTCTGTCTGGTATTTTCAGGTTGGCACCAGTGTATCCCGATACGGGAATAAAGTAGAGATCCTTCTTGGGGTTGAAGCCAACTTTCTTCAGGAATGGGATAAGTTTCTCCTTGCATTCTTCATACCTGGGGACACACGAATTTCAACGAATGGATTAAGCCACACCTTTAAGATTACACAGTTTAGCCTACAATTCATCCTGAGGCATGCGGGATACTGGACTATCTGGGCTCAAAATACATGTCATGTACTGTAAGTCCAGTTATGTTCACGAATGCTTTATTTCACGAGATGGAGCAATTTGGGAGCTCACGAGGTCTATGACTTCGCGAGTCGGTATTTTTAACAAGGCGTTACATATGTCTCTGTCGGCAAACTTACCGACAGTCGGTACGGGAAATTATCAATCTTTTTTTTTCGGGACGCGCGGTTAGAACATGGTTTCTTCGACATGACACTTGCCCATTAACGCAAACTCGGGGTCCTGGGTGCAATGGACGGCATCGCCAACAACGTGGACATCGCCAGGGGGATGGGGATGGCAATGGGATCAGAGCCACCTTGAGCCGCGCGCGTGAGTAACAAAGCAGCCGCCGGTCCGCCGCCGCCATGTTTGAACTTTCGACTCGCAAATTTTGCCAACTTCTACACGTAAATTCCTCACGTAAATCATCATTAGTTGTGAAATTTTAGCGCACTTTTCTATAAATTTGCTGGTTGGGAACATTCAAAACCATGTTGATTTAATAAGTTGTAAAAAAATCAAGCAAACTTAGACCATTAGACAACGCGCTATGTAAACAAAGGCCGCCATGTTGGATTTCTTGTGATTTGTCGATCGGCTTGGCGGGTACTCGGCGGTAGATTTTCGTGCAATTCTTCCCTATAAATACCTGTTAATGTTGTATATGTAGCGTAAAGTTTCATGGGATGTATGGAAATCTTGTGAAATGATTTTTTTGCGTGTAGCTTTGGTGAGTAACGTTTAACCCGTGTAGTTTGATCTTTCGAGGTATAGACAAAAGACCCCACGCCACGCTATCCCGCTTGGTTCTATTTTTTGCCGATTTTCCGTACCGTAAATACTCTGCTTAACGTCGCTTGTACACGACAACTTTTCACCGATGTATGTTGTAAAATTCCGTATGTACGATGTTGCACATGTTTACAGCTGTTCGCTGCTATGTTATCGCTAAACTAGCGTTCTTGTTAAAACTGATGTTGTATAGTCGGCTTTGTAAACTTTTACCATTCTTTGCAATTAGCACTTGTACTAGTAACAAAATAATGATTCCGTGAACCATATGCTCATTGAATAAAGTTTATTTGATTCTGAAATGAAGTCTGCTGTTATTCGTTGAGTCTTGTCATTTACTAGTACTACGTAATGTAGAAGTTGTTAGTATAGTGAATAGAGTTGCGACGCACGATGTGTGGGGGAGGGGGGTGGTACGTACGGAATGGGTTCGCGAGGAGGTGAGTTCACGAGAAGAGCGTCTTCGTGAAAACCGTGAACTTAAAGATTTCGTAATCAAAAATGGACTTACAGTACCTTTTTTTTCGAAATAACTTTTGGCAGTCACCTACACTCGTTTGCTCTGTAAATTCTTACTCAAACACATATACATGGTGACAGGAGTCTAAATCCCTCCTGCTATAAAATTGCAACATGATGCAACCCAACACTAGTTACCATGGTGAAAGATGTCTGGTTCAGGTCATTGACCTTTTGTGTTTGGAACAGAAGACGAGAAAACAGCAAAAACAATGTTTTCCTTCGGTAAACATAAAAACGCCAGTAATTCAGAATGAAAGGGTAAGTTCATTAATTTTTTCACCTTGCTTGACTCCATTCGACCGTGGGATCGTCCATTTTGTTGATAACTACAACTATGTGCTTGACTCCTGCCGTCTTCACCAGCATGGCATGCTCTCTCGTCTGTCCGCCTCTCTCAAATCCCGTCTCAAACTCCCCTCTCCGAGCAGAAATCACCTGAAACAGATACGTGCAAAGTTATAATTAATACAACTATCTGCACTGTAATCTAGCTTGAGTAGTCACCCTTCTTTCTCCTTCAAGTCTCAACATAGAAATGCACCTCCTCGTTGTCTATTTTTCCTTTTTTCTTGAAGTGACTATCAAAGACAGAAGGGACAACAGTACAGGTGCAAAAACATGCTGGTTGCTGTCCTAGAAAACAAAATTTTATCTGGCACGTATGACCCGCTACTACAGTCACGTGTCTCTGACGTCACGTTCCAAGAGTAGAAGGGTTTATTCTATAAACAAAGTTGATGGAGTCAACCGAAAATTTGGGGTAAATCCCAATTCTTTGTAGTTAGTGTTGGAAATTTAAGCTTAGTCTTTATTTCATAATAACTTGTACCAACACAGATGAAGTTTCATGCAAAATTCAAAATTTCATAATAACTTGTACCAACACAGATGAAGTTTCATGCAAAATTCTGTCTACAATTCTAAAAATCAATCATCACATTATAGTACAGTACACGGATAGTTAAAAATGACTGCATGTACTTCCAAATTCCCGTTGTCACACTGATGATAAACTGACAGTTACCAGAATAGCTATGTCAGCTTGTGAGGCTCCACAGATCATGTTGGGCACGAAGCTTTTGTGTCCAGGAGCGTCGAGGATGGTGAAGTGCCTTCTCTCTGTCTCGAAGTACGCTCTCCCTACTTCCACTGTCTTGCCTTTCTCCCTTTCTTCCAGGTTGGTGTCCAGCGCCCATGACAGGTACCTTCAAAAAGGAGAGAAAGGAAAACATTCAATCTGTAAGTCATAAATACAAGTCTCAAGTACAACGGACCATCATACCCCTATGTGGGGTTGTGGGGTGCAGAGCATTTAACTCAGGTCCTAAAAGGTCCTGGGTTCGAATCCTACCAAGTCACCAACGTTGTGGCCTTGGGAAAGACACTTTACACGACTTTCCTCACTTTGCTCAGGTGAAAATGAGAATGCCAGAATGATCATTATCATGATCACAGGCATTTAAGGAAAACCAAACCCACCACAAAATACAGCTGGTTTTGGAAGGACACATCTGTATGTACCAAATCAGGCCATCCACCAAGAATTACTATCACAAAGCACACTCACCAAGTTTCTCTGTTCTTCTCTTTTGCTTCTCTCTCGTATTTCTCCAGCGTCCTTTTGTCCACCATACCAGTCAGATACCTAACGCACCACCAGGTAAGACAACATGTTTCAGATGGAAGCATCCTACTCATGTAATATAAAAATCATACAAATACAACACTAAGAATGGAAGTTGAAGAAATTACACCTATACAAACAAATGCCAGATCCATGAATTGCATGTTCCATGACGATTATGACCTTGATTGATACTTACATGATCTGGCCACCAATTGTCGACTTTCCAGCATCTGAAGGAAAGAAACAATGAAACTGAGCAAAGTACATTGTACATGTTACAGCTTTGAGGAATTCAACATCATTAGCTAATATGTACATGTTTTCAACAATGACATACTGGTATCTTACATACAAAAAAGCTTTGGAATAAATACAGAGACCACTATAGAATAAGGCTTTTCCTGCATGTCAAGTTTTGAAATGTTAGACAAAGACATCAATACTAACCAACATGGCCGATGAAGATGACATTGATGTGTTCCTTGAGTGGTGCGGAGGGTTCGGTCGGTTCTTGGGTCTTCTTCTTGACGGCTGCAGTTGCCTTGGCAGCTTCTTCCTCTTCATCCTCCTCCTCCTCTTCCTCCATGGGCTCCCCTTCCTCTTCTTCTTCTCCTAACTCCCCATTGGCTGCCGCTGTAAGGTAATGTTATATCATCAATAAGCTGGTACACAGTGTGCACTGTGTATGTGCAGCATGAATCTATGATACACTGTGGGCGATATGTCAAGACTCAAAGTTTAAGGCCCCCAAAACAGACATACCAAGCCGTCTTTTTCATGTTACTAATATAATTAGCCTTTGGACAAGAATGTTCAAGAGAAATTATCATCATATCCATCTACCTTTCTCCAAGTTGAGTTAACAGTCAAATCTGTAGAAGTTGACCACCTTCGCGTAAGGACCACCTGGCCATTGTGACCAATTTTTGGTGATCCCTTAGGTAACTTTTCCCATTGACACAAGCATTAAGAAACCTGTCTATAGTGAAAACCTGTCCACGTAGACCAGATTTAATTAGTCCCATGAGTGGCCCTCTAGTCAGGTTTTTACTGTACATATAACAGTTCAGGTACAGGGACCTACCCATGTCATCCAGAGTCCCAGGCTTAGGCTCTGCTGGGGGTGGTTCTGGGTCGTCCATGGGTTCTGTGGGACAGACACTATCATTAGATCTAGCCTCCATAGCATGCCAAAAACTGGGGGATTTGGGGGTCTTCAGGGTCTTTGGGAGCTTTTATGTGCTATTTTCTGATTGCAAATAGACAACATAGCCGGCCTGGTTGAATTACCCCCGTTTTTAGAACTGGGCTCATCAGAAAACAGCCAAAGACCACCAAACCCCCAGTTCTAAAAGCCTGCTATGGAGGCTACATTAGATCTATTATAGTATTAAGGGACATTTTGGAGTGCAACATGGCATTTAAGCCTTTTTCTACTATTCAGGGTGAGATGAGTAAAAAAAATCTCCTACAACCTGCAACCTCCAAAGTAGGAAAAAGTTTGGGGAAAAATATCACCAACTTACCAGCTGGCAAGCGCAAGCTAAACGTTAATGAACCAAAAGATATACCACTCCAGAAAACAGAAATACAGTGTTTTGCCTTCTGCATATGTACAAAGGAATTTCCTGTTTCGAGCAATGTAAAAATTGATACAGCGCTTAGGGTATGAAACCAGTTTGTTGTAGTAATCCATATCAGTTGTTTTGATCTCGGCAGTACTGATTTCAACAACCATGATTATGGATCTGTTTCCAAAGGGCACTCTAGCTAATTGAGCACTTGAAACATCAATTATTCAGTATGTATCAAAGATTTGAATCAATAGTATTTTCAACTGTAGATTTACATTTAACTGCCTCTAACCTTATGAGCCACTTGTTGAGCTATAATGGTAGTCACAAGGGATCAGCCATGGACCTATCTTTTGACACTTTGGTTTTATGATAAAAGCATTTGAGTAATTATTGTTCCCTAATCACTCAGTCTAACCCTCCACTGTGTGTTGTACATGTACGACATACTGTAAGTCACTTTGTATTTGCGGATTTTGCAGTCACTTCTATACCACAAATTTATGATTACCACAAACAAAATGAGTCGCTGACTTCCTTTCTTCTGTACCTGCCGCCACCACGAACATATACCGTAGTTCTGCGAACATTTTTCTCACACCGCGAAATTTTGCTACCACAAATACTAAGCCATTTACAGTTGTAAATTTACACTGTTAGAAGATTAGGAGGGTTTTACCTTGTGTGTCTCCTCCTGCTGCAGTCTCCGCGTCCATGGCGTTGTCTGTTGACCCTGCTGTCGGGGACGCTGCATCTGTGAGAAGGACATAACCCCCATTACTGGCAATACTCCACAGGGCTCATAATGGCCACTACATCAGGCACTGTACACTCTTATCATATATCCATATCATCACAACACCCCACTGAGCTTGGCATTAAAACGGAGTGCATCAAATGTGCAGAACCCTGCCAAGGTTAAGATAACAACCGTTGACTTTTTATTTTGAGCTTTTAAAAAATCAGACAAGGTATGTAATTACTAAATTAGTCTACTCTATTAGTATTCTATCAATTCATATGGGAAAATATCAACTTATGGTAGAAATCAGGCCTTTTGTGACATCAGCAATATCTAGTATATGTACTATAAAGATGCATTCAAATGTGACATTTCTGAAATTAAAAATCAAAACAGACTGAAGCATAATCTTTGATTAACTCTTTTCCCGTGTCCAAAAACATACCCTGATCCAGCCTGCATTACCAAATACACGAAGGCATAGAGCTCCTTGCCGCTTCATATACTTGGGCTATAGCTGGATGCTGAATCATTTCCCTCAGACTTATTACCATACAGTGCACTTACTTTCCTAATTGCACATGGCAAGGTCCCAAACACCATTAACTAGCTGCTCCCTGCATCTGTCTACCCCCACTGTGGTGACAGTGCTGTCAATACTGCTAACCTTTAGCCATATAAATATCTGTATTGACTTATTGGCAGAATTTGATATGGACAGACACAGTGCTGCATTCTGAATACTTCAAGTGCAGGGCCACACCCTAGTGTAGGGCTCCCCGTGCATGCTAAGTGATGTGCATCTAAATGAAGCCAACAGGTGTTTTGGGTGGCATTCTCAACCCCAGGGGATAATTAGACATGTGCTACTCCAACGGTTAAATATACATTATACATTCAGGGTACAATGTCATCACAGGCTTTTCTAAATGTGCTATTTGGCACAGGTCATAGGTTTTAAAATAAAAGTAAAGGCCCAGCCAAACCAAGCTGGTTGATGAGTGTAGGATACATTTATATTTAGCTTTTCTTGTGATTACTTTTGAAATAAATGCATAGGTATATCGCCTTATGTTAACCATAATAATAAGCCACATCGAGCCTTTTAGGGAGGTGTTACGCTATATTTAGGACATCTTTTAGAGTCGATTCCGCGTCACCGAGTGGGTTTTTTCTCCATGTTTCTAATATGTTTGAATTATTTAGAAGAAAAGAATACCCTAGTAACAAAAGTTCTAAATTTTTCAAAAGTTTGAAAATGAAAATTTGAATATATTTGAATTCATTTATATATTTCTGAAACATTTTGAAAGTGACTGTACAAAGATCTCTTTATTTAGAATAAATTTGAACTACCCATTTGTTTCTTTCACTATTCGAAATATTTAGAACTATTTCAAACAAATGAAAAATGGTAGATGTGGGTAATTGCCCCCATAAAAGTAGGTGCTAATCCTACTCTTCTGTATTCTTCTGTATATTTTTAGATTTCACTGTTGGACACTGGTGGCTCTTTTGTTGTAAGGCATCAATGCCTGACACCCAGGCAGTCTACCCTGTACTTCACAGGGATGTGTGAATTACTTCCTTCCCATCCCACTGACCTATTTACAAATTGTTAGAAATAATTCGAAATAATGGTAAAAAATGGTAGAGTGCTGTTAGAAATATTTAGAAACTATTGGAAATGTCATATTCCACATCAGGAATATTTCAAACGTTTTAGAAAACCAGGGAATTATTTAGAATATTGACAAGATGTTCAAAATATTTCTAAATAATGAAATTTCTTAGACAAACAATTACAAAGAATTCAAAACATTTCTAAATAATGACAATAACAACCCACTCGGTGACGCGGAATGGACTCTATGAGCAACATCAAATTTCCATTTACGCTCTACTACCTTTTAAGCTACATAATGGCAGACAAAGGTGCAGCTGAGGACAGCTTAGTAATAATCTGGCTTTACTGCATTTGGAAAGAAACATACCAGACTAGGGTTGACCATAATTATGCTCTAATTTGATAAGTGGCTTGTATGACAGCTGTATGGTACGTGATTAATAAGCTCCTGTCTCACATGTAATAAATGTAAAGCATAAGAATAAGAATACAAAACATACCAGAATCTTCAAAATGTTGGGTTGGTGTTACTTAGAATAGAAAAGTAATTATTTACGTAACAGCTGGCATGAATATATTTAATTCAGATTTGAAGGCCAATAATTATGAAAATGAAGAACCTTGGCCCCACATACAAGGCTAGCACGAGAATATCCTTGACCCTCAGTATATCAGTAGCTCTCAAACTGTCACCAACAATGACATGTCTGAACTACAGCTGGCTAAAAATACCACTGGAAAAGTTTTGCTACCAGACATATACCTTCCTGTCCTGAATAGTGACCTGACAGATCAGAAAGATAGATTCTCACATAGGGCAACTAACACATCCCTATATATACACATGTATTATATACAGCCTAGCATTAGTACCATCCATGTTTGTTTACATTACTTACTTGTCATAACAACAAATTTTCCAGTTAAACACCTTCAGTAATAGTTTTATTTTAGGAATAGTCTTTATGCCCACTGATCTGTTTCTGAAAAATCAGTATAATCAAAACTTCTGCTTGCAAATTACCAGACAGTCAGTATTCTGAACTGACTGACAATGGCACAAGGTTATAAACATGGCAGACATCTTGCATCTACATGCATGACAGCTTCTCAAGGTGAGAATGCAAATGTCACAACCAGAGCCTGGGCAGAAAACTGCTGACTGTAGCTGCTAGTTTTCATATTGTGTAATCTTACTTACTGCTCCTTCTGTTATCTTATGATCAACTTCCAAAAACTAAGAAGTCTCCAGAAAATCCAGCAACAGTTGTTGTAGTTTTCATTTAGACATTTCAGACCTAGTCTGTTGTCTCTGTGCATTTCTTACATACCCTCATTGCAGGGTGAGTACAGATAAGAAAAGTACAAGAGCAGAATACATTACAAGACAGTGTAACAGAAGACAACTTGTAAGTTGTGCCTGTTTTTCCAGCCAAAAGACCTAAGAAGCTAGGAAAATTACACCATTGTTATCTTATGATCTTTCTGCAGGTATAATATAGATACAATATCATACCTAAGCTCAACTTGCCAACAACAGACAGTTGTCCAATAAGTTGGTCCAATAACCAGACCAAGGCCATATCGTGATATCGTGACTGACTGTACAATTTAGGAGTTATCAACTTAAGTCAAGGTGGGCAGTGGCAATTCAATAGGCTCTATTTTCAAACACCACGAAAGATGATGAAACATATGGTACATATCATATATGATCTAAGAAATTGGTCTGGAAGTGAGTTTTAACTGCAAGGTTTCATATGGGAATTTGTGGTTAACGCAAAAGATTTCAGCGTATACTTTAAACTTGACTAAATCAATGGTTAACGTTTAACGGCAGTGAACCTTAATCCGACACTTTTATGCACAAGCAAGATTGAATGATGAATCCACAACCAGACATTCGGTATTTTCGTTAATCATTTAGTGCATCTTGTAGCCTGTTTTTAACGCCATACCTACGTGTGTGTCACTCTCCCAACCATTGAGATATCGCGGGAAAATTGCGTCTTCAACATCGCTCCCGATTTCACCGTGCCCTGCGTATTCTGTTCTAAGCGAAACCTTAATCCGACGCCATGCAACAGTGTAGCTGTTTGCCTGTAATTTTGCTATTCACAACAACATTTTTTTCTCAATCCCTTTGTCAAACAACAGACACTTATACAAGTTATCAACGGCATCAAAAGTAAGTCGGTAGGCCGGTGCACCGCGGTGCAGCGCTACACCAAATCACGTGGCTTGGGACTATTGAATTTACAAAGAAGGGGACCGCATTCGAATCAGTTACGGCGGGGCATTTTAGTTCCAAGAAAGGAATAATTGAAGAATTTTACAATAATGTTACCAGTCAAAAACTAAATTCTGCACTATTCCGAAGTATTTGTCACTAATTTTGGCGATAATACAAGTATTGCGATGATTTGCCACATCCACGTACAGACTAGTGGTATCGTCTTCAACAACAACAACAAGTACATTTCGGATTCAAAATGGCGGTCGTGTTCGATCGGCCGCTGAATGACCATAACGAACTCGCTCTGTGCTTAAAAAGAAGGACACTTCTAGGCAAGTGGTTTGTCAGCAACACACACCTTATTAATTGTTTTTTTATTCGCTGTGACGTTGAATGTATAGCATGAGGATGTAAAGGAGAAATTGTCGATGTTTTGACCACTGTCCTTCCGGAAGCTTCCTCCCACGACATGCCTACCAGTGTAAAACAGGCTGAAAATTTTCATGACCTCGTCTCCACAACATGTTGACTTCGTTAGCTCACTGTTTCAAGTTTTTAGGCTGTGTACCTTATTGAGTTTGTAAAGCAATTAAAAGATTTTGCATATCAGTGCTAGATCCTAACAGACAGAGGAGTGTTGAAAAGTGTCGGATTAAGGTTGCGTCGGATTAAGGTTCACTGCCGTTAAGTTCTTTATACTACTTTTCATGTGTAAATCATCCTTACTGACAAATTATCACAAACAAATATCAGGTTATGTCCTTGCATGTATTTGATGGGGACATGGCTGCAGGTGCTTCAGAAAAATTACAGAAACTAAAACATTAGTGCCCCTGATACACAATAAATGGAAAGCCAGTTCCCCTTTTGTTTACACTTCCTTGAAAGTTGATTGAAAAACAAGCTAAGAGCATCAGGCCTCCATTGTTTATCACTAAGTTGTTAAAAACAGCTGATAACACCAACAAAACCACACGACCGCCTGCCTATCAACAGTACCAATGGAACTTCCATACTCTTTTTCCATGAGGACTTTTGGTACAAGGATTGTTTCGGAAATACGTTTTGTTTACCATACATGGTTGCATATGGTACAGCCTGTCACAACTGCCCCCCCCCCACGAACCATATTATACCGTAGAAATTGTACTAGCATTTAGTTTTGCAGTGGTTTTATGTCACATTAGGAAAGAAATTGGGGATTCTCTGTGTTTGAAGCTCGCAGTTGAAACAAATTCTGGAGTACAGTAGAATTTTCTAAACACAAATTCGGAGTGTCGTAGTTCACCGCGAAAATAAAACCACTGCCAACATGTCAGGATTTACAGTATTTTGAATGGACAGAAACACATCTGCCCTATTACTTAATCCTATGACACTTGTGTAATTGACTGACCAAAGTCCTTATAAGAAGGGGTACAGAGTTTTAAGGAGAGACCTGCAGAGCTATAGGCGTAGGCATATCTGTCAGCTGATCGCGTGAAAAGTGCCGTACCATGTCATATTTTCCCCCATGCCTGCGTGCGCCAAAAACATGGCGGACATTTTTTCGGACAATCGACAGACGTTCGTACGAGTGTACAGACACCAAGATCGGCTAAAAATCGGTACATCGCCCCGGACTAGCCCTGCAGAGACCACAGATATGTTTTCAGAGCAAGTATTTATCAGAATCGTGCGAACCTGGCTGCTGTTCCTGGGATGGGGAGGTCTTTGTCAACCAAGATGGTACGAAATCCGGGGCATTGATGTTCAAGCTGGAAAAAGGCTTCTGAATTTGTAGCGGTGCCTCGGTGTTTGCCGGTCCTGAGTCCGCTACTTGCTCCCAAGAATCGGGCTCTTGGTACTGTCCGTTCGCTGGGTCCATGTTGGGCGTAAAACCGCGGAATTTAAGTAGAAACGTTGCCTTCTGTGAGGCTACAGGAGAACTCACGACACAACCTCGTGTGCCGGCGTGACGTCATCTGGTGCGTACCACGCATGTGCGCACGTGCGGCAGGACGACATGATTGCGCAATGTGATATGGAGACAGAATTTTGATGCTGAAATACAGTAAATACGTTCTGTTGAAGAATAAATCAAAGATTTGATTTTATCAGCTTTTGGAGCAGCGGTAGTCCATCAAAGTATGGTAATCCAATTATTCTATAAGGTATAAGGATCACATTCTTGTGAGCTCATTGACTTTGAAAAAGCAACTTCTTTCTTTAATTTCTTTCATTCCTTCTTTAATTTCCCTATTTGGGTTATTTTCTGTTTTTATTTATTTTCTCTTCTTTGTACCACAGAATAACGGTATTCGCTTTTGCTTATTTTACCACCGATTGACGGACATACAAAAATACGCATGTAAGCAACCCCTACCCTGGACCATGACCATGCATTTGGCGCCTCCATCAATAATACCGGTTTGTGAGAAAGGGCGTTAATTTGTCACGACGGAGGATGTGGGCGATTCTCACGAACGCTTATTGTAGCTGACCTTGAGAGGATCCTGATCGGCTAAAAGTTTGGACAGTCCAACAATTTAGTTTAATTAAATCAAAACCTAAGTAAAGAGGAGCTTGCCGCCTTTTCGTGGTATGGTAGGCTTTCCTTAAGAATTTCTGGTAATTGGTGACAGCAATGAAAGTGTTTATACAGTACTTATAGATGAACATTCATCGTCCATCATCGCCATTTCATCACTTCATCTAAGGGACAAACCATTAAAGTCAGGGTAGGGTGTGTATTTATGTAATTTTCCACGATTGATTTCGTCTCATTCATTTTCTAATGTGTAGACATTGAATTTTCTTGTTTTTTTTCTGCTTAAATTATAAATTCGTCCCATTATAATCCATATGCAGCCTTTGGCCATCCAAGCACTACACTCCGCAAAATTGTTTCTGCACTGTCCCTGCAACACAACATCGGGGTGAAAGGTCAGGACAAAGATGGCGGACATCACGAGATTTTTTGTCTTCCTGTTGTGTTCTTGTCTTGCCAGTCGTGCTGGGAGCGCCCCAGGGAACAGAAATGTCCTTGTCATTATAGGTGAGGGTTTACTTTAGGTCGTTATTCCCGGAGTAGACAGGTTTTCGATACAATGTTAGCAGAATCCTGTGAAAACCGGGGATGGAGGGGGTTTACTCTCATCAACTGTAAACATACAGGTGTAAACTTTAATAGAACCTCTAGTTACATGGATTTTATTGTGTGAGCGAAGTGCAAATGTATCTATGTTTGTGCTGTATGTTGACAGACAAATTTATTAGTCTTTTCCTTTACTTGGCTTTATATGAACATTAGAATAACGTTATAACAAATTATGAGTACAGTACACCACCGAGAAATAATATTTACTAGCTTATTAGGACAGAAATTCAGCAACCAGAAGCTTGACTTAACATATAACTTTTCTCGTTGAAAAAAACGAAGAAGAAAATAGATTTGATGTTGAGACTGGCCAAGATTTTTTAAATGTTGTAATTATGATTATAATAGTACATTATGATATACTGACTATATTATTACAACATTATAATGTATCATAATTTCTACCAGGTGTCCATGCCTTGATGTCTGTGATATTTTCTAACAGGTGATGATGCAGGGTTTGAGACGCAGGTGTACAACAACACGGTGTGTAAGACCCCTCACCTGAACAGCCTGGGCAGCCGCAGTCTGACCTTCAGACAAGCCTTCACCTCAGTCAGCAGCTGTTCTCCCAGCCGCTCAGCCATCCTCACAGGTCAGGGCAGCGCCACGTTTGAGTAGTCTATACCAGACTAACTACACTGGCTATATATAGGAGAATAGTTGTCAGGGAAGTTTGGCCGCCTTGGGGGTTGACTGACCACTTCAGAGGGAAAGAAACAACCTTCCACGGCCTGACTTCCCTGGCCAATTTTACTCTCCTTTTTGCCGAATTCTACAATCTGTATTCCCATAGAAAGGCCTGATGGAGGCTAATGTTTGAGTTAGCAGTGGTACACGCCTACTACATGTAGTATTTATTTTAGTCAGAGAAATGGAGAGGAAGCAACATCTGCATCTGCTTATGTGAATCTCTCCTCAAACACAGACAAAATATGAATAATAGAGGGGAAAAAAGGAATTGGATTTAAAACAAGATAACAACACAACACAAATCTTACTAGAATTAGGCAGTCTGTTGAAAAATACAAGAATGGGATAGGTGTGAAAGTGAACTAGAGTAGTATTGCACTCATACATTCTGCATAACCATTTGCAACAACTGTGACGATAGCAAAAGATATTTTGCAACACAGACGTTACATCAGTCTACTGTCATTAAAAGTTCCAAAGTTCCTGGATACTTCTGACTTCTTGATTTGTCTTAATGTTCTATGTATGCTGTTTCCAGGTCTTCCCCAGCATCAGAATGGCATGTATGGTTTGCACCAGGGCTACCATCACTTCAACTCTTTTGACAACGTCAGAAGCTTACCTCTCCTGCTCAACCAATCAGGAATTAGAACAGGTATTACTAGTATGCATATACTCTTCAGGACTAGGTTTCCCATAACTCAAGATCTGTTTGCTGGATTTTAGCTTGAATTACAAATTGTAGCAAGGCAAAACCTTGTCTTTCTAACAATTTGATACTAGTAACTTGCACTTAGGAAACATTATCTCAATTTAATGTTCTAAACTACAGTAACCAAGAGATGCCTACATTTGTAGCAAGATAACTGTGATATTTTCTTCTTTCCTCTCCCCAGGAATTATAGGTAAGAAGCATGTTGGCCCTGAGTCGGTGTACCCTTTTGAGTTTGCTGAGACTGAGGAGAACAACCACATCATGCAGGTGGGCAGAAACATCACCCTCATCAAACACCTGGTCAGGGAGTTCCTGCAGCAGAAGGATGACAGGTGAGGGGACTGAAGTCACTTTCCTACAATTATTGTTTGTCTTAAAACAAGTGTCTTACATGGACACACATTCAGGCTATACATGTACATTTCAACAGCTTTATTTTAGTGTCTCTTACTTTGAAGAATGAAATTGGAGATGTTCATTGCCTTTATGGGACATATTTTAGTGACACAGCTCTACAGCTTCACAGCAAATGTCTGTTAGCCTCATATGAAAGTATAACTTCAGTTTTGTAGAGTTGTGTTGGAAAAATGAGCCAAACTACTTTTAGGTACTCAGGCACCCAATCGGTACACTATTCTGTGATTCATTCTTCATTGAGTAACATAAAGTTGAAGCAGTAATTTTCTTTAATCTGTAAAATACATTTTCATTCCAGACCTTTCTTCCTGTACATTGGCTTCCACGACCCCCATCGCTGTGGTCACACCAACCCACAGTTTGGGAACTTCTGTGAGAAGTTTGGTAATGGAGAGCCGGGCATGGGGCTCATTCCTGACTGGACACCCGTGCACTACTCTCCAGAGGAAGTCATAGTTCCACCATTTGTACAGGACACTCCAGCGGCAAGAAGTGACCTGGCAGCTCAGTATACAACCATCAGTAGGATGGACCAAGGTGGGCTGGCATTCAGTTTTGCTGTCAAATACCATAGGTTAATGCATGAACTTTACTGTACAAAACAGCAGAATGTCTCAAACATTCCTAACTGAGCCAGTGTCAAGGAAGCATGGCACATTTTTGTTGGAAAGTCTCCAAAGAGTGCAGATTATTGTCCCTTTTGTACATGCTAATTGCAGCATTTTGAATATAATCTTAATGGACAAGCAGTAAGCGGAGGTATTCCTTTAGTTCTAAATTTGCTGCAGTTGGGGACAGTTATAAACACTGCTTCTCTTTTATTCTCTCAGGCATAGGCCTGATCCTACAGGAACTCCAGGCTGCAGGCCACGACAAGGACACCCTGATTCTGTACAGCTCTGACAACGGTATCCCCTTCCCCAACGGGCGCACCAACCTCTACACCTCCGGCATGGCTGAACCCCTTCTCCTGTCCTCCCCCCTCCACACCTCCCGCTGGGGCCAGACCACCGACAGCTTCGCCAGCCTGCTGGACGTGGTGCCCACGGTACTGGACTGGTACGGGCTGGATTATCCCGAGTACGAGATATTCGGTAAGAACAAGGTGGTGAAGCTGACGGGGAAGTCTCTCCTGCCGGCGCTGAAGGAAGAACAGTCGTGGAACACGGTCTACGCCAGCCATGATCTTCACGAGGTCACCATGTTCTACCCCATGAGGGTTATAAGGACGGGAGACTACCACCTCATCCACAACCTCAACTACGCCATGCCGTTCCCCATCGACCAAGACTTTTTCCTCTCCCCAAGTTTCCAAGACCTTTTAAACAGGACTCGTGAGGGGCAGCCCCTGCACTGGTTCAAAACACTCAAGAACTACTACTACCGCCCGCAGTGGGAGCTGTACAACCTGAGGACTGACCCGCAGGAGACTGTGAACCTGGCGGGAAACAGTGATTACCGTGACGTGCTGCAGGAGCTACGCAGCCAGCTGCAGGCATGGCAGAGGATAACCTACGACCCCTGGGTCTGTGCTCCCTGGGGAGTGTTGGAGGATGAAGGTCCGTACAAGGACAACCCTGTCTGTATGAGTATGGACAATGGAACATGAGGGAGTTGTCACATCGTGGGGTTATCGAAATTATGATTCGTTTCTATGCAGTGCAGTATTTTATAAGGGTTTCTATTTAACTTTAGTTTTGCTATCTATCCAGGGAACAGTAATATATATTTTGCACACATTATATATGACAAACCCTGCAGGATAGGAGCATAGCTGGTCTAGTTGCTTACAGTTAGGTCCACAAACAGTTAACAGAACGTCTGTCAGGATGACAGGGAAAAGATGATCAGTGACTAGAATGTCACTGATAGGCTCTGTTGAAAAGTCATTACTCTTGATCAGTGGTGAAGCCATTCTGTGGCATTCCAAGACTCTCCATGTTCATACATCTGACTTGGTGTTAGGCAAAATGTGAAAAGTCCTCATTTTTAGCTTTTTGCAGAAAATCTCACCAAACTCTTCAAGCACATCATGTAAAGTAGTTTAATATGACACATTTGTTTTCTCTTTCTTCAAACATAACAACTAACATATATACAAGGTCTCTTCAAGCAAGTCTATGGAACAAATGGTTTTACATACAATGTAAATTAAAAAAACAACATTGATATGACGGAAAAATATAATAAATTTGTATGGATGGTTCTGCTACATGTATTTGTTACATTTCTGGTCGGAATGTTTTATTTTCTTATTTGGAAAAAAAACCTTTAAGCAATAAATGGAAGACAGTTTAATGCAATCTGCTTGTATTGAAAAGCAGTAATGCCATTTTCAAGTGGAGTAGACTGTGGAAGATTTTATGACACACACAGAGTGCATAACAGTGTGATTGGCAGTTGCACACACATAGCCTGCAAAATAATTTTCAGGATGTAAAAAAAAAAACTATAATACATTTCTGACTGACAAAAAATATTCTTAGTATTGCTTTTGATATCCAGGTCTTTTTAAAACACATTTTTGAGTGAAGAAAAATATCCTTTTAAGATGAAGGCAATGCTCTGCACTTCTGAGTGCATCTATGGCCAAAGCAATTCAACTTCTTGATTCTAGGATCTTTTAAATGTAAAATTTTAGCAAAAGGCAATATGACAACAGAAGACTGGGAAGAAAACTTGCACCTAACTCACTCCCTGAAATTTTGTGCGCCAAGGTACAGACTTTCCTCTCAGACTATGTTTTTATGCTACGGGGAATACCCCAATCTAGCATCATTTCTTTACATCCGAGAACAAAGAAATTGAATTAGTGTGACCCAACCTCCCCTTCCAGATCAGTTGTTTGTTGTGTATCAGCTCCTTCCCCCTGTAGCCCCGCCCACATAGTTATTGATGGCGGACTGTAACATCCTGGCCCTCTGTGCCTCGTCGTCCCTGATCCTGTTGATCTCAGCATCCTTCATGCGTACCTGCTCCCTCAGCGAGGTCACCTCCGTCTCCAGGTCTCGCCTCTCCTCACGGTGACGGTGGTTCTGGTCTGGAGGGGAACACGGAGTGGGTACGTCATTGAGGGTTAGACATCCAGGTAAACAATACCAGGGCTCGAAATACTTGGTGCAGCAATGCTGGTGTGTTAGGCTGAAGGGTGGTTATATAGATACAGATACAGTACATTGTCTACAGTAACTGTGCACCCAAATATTTTCATAGGTTTACGTATGTAAAGATGTTAAATGTATAGTTCTGGTTCATTTTGTATACAGCATATTCTTAACATCTTAGTTTTTTCAATTTTTAAGAAAGTTTACAGTATTTTTTTTCTGCTACAAGAAACCTTTTCTTGTGTACAGAATGGTTTTCTTGCATCAAGAACAGTTAGCTCTTAGTTCAAGAGATATTTTCTTGTGGACAGAATCGTTTTCTTGTTACAGCAAGAAACTCAAGAAACGTGTTTCTTGAATTTTCTTACTACGGGGATTCTTAACTTTCTTGTTCAAAGAAAAATTTCTTGCTATAAGATACATTTTCTTTGTACAAGAAAGAAGAAAGAAAAACAAGAAAAAGCATTTTTGGTAGTGTGGATATACTAGTAGTAAGAAGATAACTTCCAGACATTTAGAGTGACATCCATCACTCTCCTTCAGCATCACTAGATACTGGGCTAGAACCCCAATGATTTCTTATAAAGAGCAAGAGAATGCAAGCCATTCTCCGTGAACAAGTACATCCTTCAACTTTAACTAAATGGGCCATGTGTGGCTTTGTATTCAACTCCCATTGCTCATGTGATGGCTCCTGGCCAATTGTGTGTTCAAGTTCATTCATCATTACAGAACAAGAGACAGGCAGAGCCGTGGAGGACTCCCAGAGTTAACCGTGTCGTTTATCATACTGAGGAAGATTTGGAGGACGTGTCTGGAGATGCTAACTAGGACCCAAGGGGGGCTGCAGGTTACACACCTGGACTTGAACTTCAGACTGACTGCCAAGGACACAAGTACTAGTACACTGGGCTGAAACTTCAACTGCTCTTACTACTACAATGGAAGCAGTAGTCATCCAAAGTACATTTTGTACATGTTTCTTGTTTGAACATGTATCCTATCTTGTACTTTCTTTGATAACATTGAAGCTTAAGTCATGAAACACATAAAAATGACCTTAATAAAGTTTTTCCTGGAATAACTTCATTTTGTTGTCATCTTCTACACTCTCTACTTGGAGCAACACCTCTTAAGTCCTGCGTAGCCCAACAATTGTTGTTTTGCACATTCAGTACCATCTATATAGCACTCTGTATAGGTACGATTTGGGAGTGTTCCTCGTGAAACCCATCACACCGCAGCGTGATTGCGGAAGTATGCCACTGCAGGGAAAAAATAGTCGGGGTCTAGTATAACCTAATTAAGACATGAAATTATTGACAAAAATTGCGTAAAAAATGCCAGCAGGACAAAGCAAGAGCCCTCTCAAGTAACTTTGTATGCTAATGTTCATAAATGCCATGTAAGTTACATGCACTGTGGTCATTTTTTACCAGAAATCTAAGATGACTAGAAATGAGTGCCAGTGTTATATGTTTATCAATCAGAAGTTTTTCCTAATGAGTGGAAGTCTGACCTCTGAGCTGTTTTTCTACTTTCTCCAGCCTCTCGTTCAGCTCAGTGTTGGTGAGTTTTTCAGCCTCTAGTTTGGACGCCTGCTGATTCAGCTCCAATCGAACCTTCTCCACTGCAGTCATCTTTTCCGCATTCTTCCCAGCTAGCTCCTGACAAACACATGGAGAGGTGAGTTGCTTTATGCAGACAATGTGTATTCAGAAAGCACGTCAGCAGAACGTACTGCGCCTGCGCAGAACCCCGTATTTTCGCGTTTCTTGTTGGGTTTTTGGTCAACGTTGCATCAGAATTTTGCCTGTTGCAGAGGATATTCTTTCCGACATAACATTTCAAAACTACTGTCGAAGTGCTAACCTTATATGAGCGAATACAACCTTAAATGAGACATTCTGCCGAAATGCTATGCACAATACATTACGGGTTTCGCGCAGGTGCAGTACGTTCTGCCGACGTACTTATTTAGAATACTATATCCCATACTAAAGTGCTGCCAAAACATCTTGTTTCATAAGAGTATAAATTCAACTTGATAAATAGTATCTGTCTATATACACAAATGCAAATCTACAGCTGCAGCATATTTGTGACATTGCAACTTTCAGTGACATGCACATACTTAGAATAACTGAGGACCCTTTGAAAATGAAGGTCATACAAAGAAAAATTGCCAAGTGTTCTCAACATATTCTTTGAGATTTCTTTCCATCTACTGTAGTGAATGTTTTGACCCCATCAGAAGTAACTTCAATTTATGATTAACAAGTTGACTTTTTGACACTAATCAAATTAGGCTTAAGCTGGCTAACATTCTTGGCCATCATTATTTTAGGAAGACAAGTAGTTGTTCTACCTACTAAGGGTAGCCATTTGGACACAAAATTCTACCCACCTGGTTGATCTCCTCTATCTTCCTCTTGAGCCCCTCGATCTCCATGACGGCTCCTGTGTGTTTGGTCTGCAGCTCTGTGACCTGTGCTGACTGGTGATCACTGTGGTTCTGGGGACGGGGAGAACTTCACTTTAACCTGCACTCTGCCGAGGATTATGTGCCACAATGTTCTATAGCCAGCATGAAATCTTTTTCTGTCATCTCAACGATCAAACTTTTTTGACATAACATTTTCTTGAAGCATCAAAGGCACAACAATCCTGTGGGGAAGGCTTTGAGGGCATACTCCCCCATGTAAAGTTTGAAATCATGGCCCTCTGAGGCGTTTTTTTCCCCTGCATTTTGAGGGCCAAATTTTTCTGGTAAACAAAGCTTAGTTTAACGCCATCTCTTTCCATGCCGGTCTTTGTCCATCACACCATATGTTTTGAGAATGAACCGCTCTCAGAGTCTGTAAAACTTTTCAGGCTCTGTAAGTCCGCAACATGATTTCAAAAAAAGGTTTCTTCAGATAACATAAGATGTAATACCTGTAACTCCTCCTTAGACATCTGTTCCATGCGCAGTCTCTCTTCCAGCTGGGTCACTCGCTGTTGCTAAAGATGAAAATTCAGACATATTTTACAACCTTACACTAGCAGAAGGAAGATTTTTTTACAAATTTAACTTGATCTCTACCTGCAATGATTTGAATACAAGATGTCCATAGAAAGTATTACAAATGCATAATATACTCCTACTTCAACATATCCCACTCTAATTGTGTGAAAAGGAGGCCAGCATTTCTCCACCACTGCAGCAAGATTCACAGAACAACTCAAGTCTATCTGATGCAAATACCTGGTCATGCTTGATTCTGGTTTTGGCCTGTTGCATCTGCTCCTCATACTTTGACTTCTCTGACACCAACGAAGACTTGTGACGACTTATCTCCTGTAAGACCAACAAAAAAGCAATTTGCAGTCAAGTAACAACTTTTTTTCACCCAAAAGACACAAGAAAGGTTCAGGGCTACAAATTTGAGAAGTAAACAACCCTGACCTCCTCTAGCTCCATTCTGTGCATCTCCATCTTCTGTATGCGATCCTTCAGAACCCTCTCTGTCTCCTCTGCCTCCAGTCGCACTCTGCTCACCTGGTGTACAGAACGGAAAGTATCTCAAGAATTTTCTTTATGAGCAAACAAGGCGTAAAATTAAGAGATGCTGTTTAAGACAGAGGCAGGTACCGCAGCAAGTTCTAAAGGATAAGATGAAAAATACTACCGGTAGTACGCTGTCATCTTTGTCCTGTTTGGCATAAATCTGTGCCTCAAAGTCAAGCTTGGATCATAAGTTTTTCAGTCAATTGTTCTGTTTCTCTTTCTTCCTCATTCTAATAAACATACTTCAATCATTTCTAAAAGACAGTTTGAAGTGAATGTTGGCAAAATGTTTGCAATTATATTAAATGTGGCCCACCTCCTGTTGTCTGAGATGTTCTGCATCCTTCATGGCATCCTTGTGTTTCTGCTGTTCTCTCTGTTGTCTCTCTGTGAGTTTTTGGAACAGATAAAGGGAGTGATTCAGTTCAAGACTTATACAGTCTGGTAAAACGTCCAGTGGCACTTATTATTGAGGCTGATTTCTCCCCTCAAGTACAAGAACATAATGCCAAGAACATGCATAATTAGAAACAGTCATGAGAATACCACTTAGGGGACCAATAAAATCAGGTCTATATGGACAGGTGGTCACTGTAGACAGGATATTTGTGCCAATGGAAAAAAATCATTTAAGTGACCTTACATGAATGTGGTCACTATAATTTTCAGGTTTGACTGTATCTTATTTTACAGCCTCCATATGATGTTGTTAGTGAAATTAAATGTGGTCAAAAGCAAACCTACCATCAGATTGTGTGTTTGTAACCTTGATTTGTGCGTTGAGATGTGCGACAGTTTCCTTCAGCTCAAACACCTGGTCCTGTAAGGCCCTGTTCCTCCTCTCCAACTCATCCACCTGTCAATCAAACAGCATCAAGAGTTCATCATGTCATTTCTTAATTATAACAATGAATTTATTGCATATTCGTACCCCAATGGGGCTAAATGCAGTACATTAGTTAGAAGAGAGTAATAATAGGAAAACTATGCAATATTTTATCAATACAAAATAATTTTACAATTGACATGCTTCTTTTCTCTTCTTGAAAAGTGTAGACGACGTTGATTTTCATAGTCTATTCCAAATGACTACTCCAAGTAATGATTAATAGACAAAGTTTCTAACTAAGCCTCATTTGGTGATAGATACTAGTACATGTACCTCAATAGATAACTGATCCTCTCCAAGGCTTTGAGATTTTGAATAACTACACTTCACCATACAAGAAATTTTCTCATTTCTCATGTTTTTCTTCAGCAGTGGAGTAGTGGATGAAACATTTCTACTTGTTACATTTCCAGTACCTACATGTGCTGTATACAACTAGACTGACCACGTTTTTTCTATGATGATGTTACATTCATAACAACAGCTATATAACCTATAAGTGGTATGATCACAGAATTGATGAAATGGTGACTACTTTTTTTTTTAACGGTGTCGCTCAATGCAAGGCCATTGGCCACTTCTAGGCATAGAGCTAGCCTGCATCTGTAACAGCAACTCTTCTCCCTGAGTCAGAAACATCCTCACAAGTAGTGAGGACTAACTGACCCAATAGGAGAAGCAGGGGTTACGAGGCTGGTCAGGAAAATTCCCTACCCCATTTTAGACCATAATGGTTTGTTCCACTTCCGTTCACGTGGGTTCTTTTAACGTGCTTGAGGTGTGTCTCTCCTCAAACACGGGACCTCCATTTAACGTCCCATCCGATAAGACGCCCGTAACCGAAGCTAGGTACTCATTTTCACCTGAGTGAAGTGAGGAAAGTCGTGTAAAGTACCTTTCCCAAGGGTACAACGTCGCGGCGCATGTTCGGACTTGTTCGGGTACGACCCGGAATCGAACCCGGGTCTCCCCGTTTCATAGTCCAGTGATGTACCACTACACCACACGACACTGACCTTAGACTCCAGCTGTAGGTTCCTGTCGTGCACCCCTCCCAGGTCCTTCCTCATCTTGGCCTCTGCCGCGTTACGGTCCTTAACAGACAGGAGAACCATTCAAGTTCACTTCAGCAATCTCAACACAGCTCATCTATCACAGGTAAGGCTTGAAGGTGACTTAAACTTACAGGCAGGACACAAAATCTAGTAAATTTATAATTTGCTTCTTAAAAAAGATCAATCAATACCGAGTCTCCATTTACAATACTACAGTCAAATCTGGCCACTGTGGTGGTCCCTTAAATAAATATAATTTATCCCATTGACACAAGCATTAATAATCCTGTTTATGGTACCATGCAGCACTTTGGGCTTGCAAATTTATTTAAAGCATGAAAATCTGTATTCAGGACTTTCTCTAATAAATACTTAGTATGACTTAATTTTCCCTAGTAAATACTATGACTTAATGAGTCCAGCTTGGTGTTAGACCTGTGACTTTCTCAATGCTCAGCTTTTCCATTTCTTTTCCCTAGCAAAGTTGGGTTGTTGTCATTTTTGGCGACGTCTCAGGGAGGAGCCTAATGGTACTGTGTATTGTGTGCAGTTTGCAAGAATTCTAGGAATGGTACAGGCATTTTGTCCACAGGAATGGAATGTCCACAGGCATGTTTCTGACCCACATCTATGCCCACATTCCTGGAAACCCTTGGGAAGACCTCTTCCCTGGATGGCCCTACTTTCTGTGACCCCGGGGCTTGTTCACTATACACTCAGGGGAGGAGTGCACTGTATCTGTCTAGACTTAACAGACACCAAGTCTTCCTCAAAATCATGAAATCATGGCAGTGCCATGCTAACAATAACCCTAACTAACAGCAACCACCGTCGCCGTGGCAATGTACGTTTTCATTGTCAGTCTTGTTTAACCTTTTTCCTTTTGTTCTCACCTCTTTCTCCTTCATGAGCTCGGCCTGGTGGTGCACCTGGGACTGGTTGTTCTCCTGGCGGGACTTGGTCAGCAGCTCCCCCAGGTCATGTGACTTCTGCTCGGCCAATGCCAGGGCTGCTTCCGTCATTTTCAATCTGTTGAAAGAAACAGTGGTCTTCTCATTGGTGGAAGATATGTCAAATGAAAAGTTAAAAATATGACTGAAAATATGCTGATAATATCTAAATATAATGTTGGCACATAAATGACTGGCAAACCTGAGGACAGCATAAGAAGGGAAATGCAGAATATGATAGGTAAAATCTACAGTTTGTATCTTCATGAAAAGTACACAAAAATGTTTCTAATGATTGTGACATATGCAGCCATTGATACATTTACTATGTGCTTAAAATCACATCACAAACATTTCTATTCTAAGAAAATTGTACATTAAAAATGCTGAAAAAATGTACCATACGAGCCCATACACATACAGCATTGATCGATCAATCATTTAACAAAAAAAAAAAAAACTGACTTGGCAGCCAGGGAATTGAAGGATGATTTCCTCTCCTCCAAGGCTTCTTGCAGCCGACCGATCTTGTGTGCAGACGACCGCTGTGTCTTGGACATGTTCTCATTCTGCTGGTCAATCCTGTCCAACAGATCACTGACCTACAGAAGACAGGTGTCAGATACTGTCAGGTTTAGACATCCAGTCTGTATCTAGCGAGGGATTTCCAGCTTATGTCCACTTCTTCATGGTCCTTCCCTTGTTTTGGGACTTAGGTAGCTACCACTGGAAAGGAGACATAAGCTAGAAATAGATGGATACAAGATTTGTCTGTATCAATGTGTAGCTAGGGAATTTTCCCAGTACGGTTATAAATACTGTACATACTGTACATAGCATCACAACCAGTAGAACTACTCTGAAATGAGATCACTTTCACCACAGTATCTATCACTTCTTACCTGTTTTAAAAGATATCTTCGTCTCATCACATACCAGAAGAATGTGGACCAAGATGCTGGGTCAACACCAGGTTCCTTCATGCTCATCTCTGATTGCAGTAATTTCCTTACAATCTCTCAACTGTAGGATGTGCTTCTGTTTTCAACAACCCTTTCTCTGGCCCCTCGCAATACAATAAGCTACTATCAAAACCAGTTAAACTCACAGGTTTAGCAGTCATGCCTCCCTGGTTTATTCTAAGCTTCTAGTTCTACTAGTACCCAATTGCCATAAAAAGAAGAAAATCAACATAGGCAAGGCACAAATGGCAAACACTGAGTGGCTGACAACCACAAGGTGAAGACTAACAGGCCTCTTGGGAGCCAGGCTATAAAAAGTAGCTCACACCTGGAGGCATCCCCAGGTGGCTTACGGGCTAGCAGTGGTAATGAATGATTTATGTGGCTGTGGTTTACAGATGGGCCCTCTGACTGAGTCAGACACTCCCAGTCTGTAGGGACTGATCGTACACGTAAATCATGGTAGATGGGCATTAATACTGAAGAGACAGCTTTAATCCCCTGATGCTAACAACTAAGGGAACAAGTCACAATTGGGAGGCAGTGTGTTATATCAGGCTTTTCTCCTGCAAAATACAATCTTTTGGAAATTTGTAAAGTTTGAGTTTGCTGCCTCATGTTCCACAGTGTATTGCCGTTGCAATTTTAATATATTAAGAAAGAAAGGTTGATACAATTGCCTTTAATTTTTTTCCTTTGGAAGAATGCACTTGTCACCAGTATGAAGTATACAGTGGGACAAGACACAACTGCATCATCACAACTGCATGTATTGTGTTTATCAGGGTTTTCTTGTTCAGAAAACAAAACTTTTATTATATAACATCACATACAAATGTAATTGCATTTTATTTCAATTTTCTTTCCTTTGGAATGATGCACTTGTCACAAATAGGAGATGGATGGATGAATATCTATGCTGCAGAAATATTTTACAGGAGCCAACTTGACAGGTCTTCTCCTTCCCTCATCACTGCAGAACCAGGTAGTGTAGGAACAGACTTCTGTCAGCTACCCCACCAACCTGCATGGATCTGTCCTTCCTGATGCTGTCAATCTCGTTGGTCAGCATCCGAGTCCTGTCCTGGTACTCACTGGTCAGCAGGATACGGTCAGCGTTGGTGGACAGGGCTTGTTCTGAAGCATGGAACAATAGACAGATATTGTAAAAATACATAATGCTAAACTAACATTATTAGTTGAGCTGTTTTAGGTATTGTCATGTCCTCTATTGTCTTGTCAGCAGGACTAGTCCCTTGTAGTAGCCACTGGCTAGTTTGAGCTGTATATATTTTACAACCACTCACTGTGGTGAATACTGTGGATGTAATGGAACAACAGAAAAATCATTCCATCAATGGTATGGAGAAGCTGGTTTCTTAAGAATCCTTGACAGACCAAAATAACAACAACAACAAAACAAGCATACAATAATACACAAGAATCACAAGAATCAAATTCAATGTAAATAGAAATCATGATATTGCCACTGATTGAAGAACAAGAATTTAAACAGAAGACAGTATGACATTGACAATCTGAGATTTTACCTATAGCCTTGATGGTGTCTGCAGGCACGTTGTTGCCACTGAGCTCCATCTTAGTCAGGGTTCTGTTCTGCTGGAGGGAAGACAGGAGTTCCCTGCCTCCTACAATCCCCACATTGTTCCACCTGAGGTCTGAGGAACACAAAAAAACACTGGTCTCAACACAAACCTGACAGCGCAGGTGACTATACTTTTCTTACCTATCCAGTTCATGAACAGAAAAGAAACTAGAAAGGTAACATTTGCAAAGCAAATGCATAATGTTTACCTTCGCATATGGTCTGCTCTGTTAATTCTAACCCAAACACATTCACATGAATGGTCAGACAGGAGTCTAAATCCCTCCTGCTATAAAATTGCAACATTATGTAACCCAACACTAGTTACCATGGTTCCTGTTCTTTGACCTTCTTGGTTTGCAAAAGAAGAAGAAGAGGAAGTGTAGCAAAAAAAAAAAACAGGTAAAAAAACTATGTTTGGACAAGGAACCATCTAGAGACAGTCTACCATAGCCTGAGGTCCAAACCAGTACTACAGCTGCCGAGTCTCTTTCATCCTCTCCTATTTGCAGCTATAATATGTATGGATACCAAACTAAGTAAGTCTACCACCTACCCAGTGTCCTGAGAGTTTCGTTTTTCCTGAGTGCAGCGGCGATCTCTGCAGCCTCGTCGTGAGTGATCTGGTTGTTCCTGAGGTCCAGCACTGTCAGGGTATGGTTGGCTCCCAGGCCCTCACACAGGATGGTGAAGGAACTGGCAAACATGCCCAGGGAGTTCCACTCCAGACACACACTGGTAAAAAAGTACAATTAAACCTTTCAGAAATCCCTCAGAGTATACACTTTCAGAGTATGAAATGAAACCCCACACTGACACAGAAACATGGTTGGGTAAATGTTAAACATTTTCAAAAATGGGGTTTTAATAAGAGATTCAGTCAGTATTTCTTAAGTACAAAATTAATGTAGCATAATACAGCAATGTACTCTTACATGCATTCAAGACATATTAAAATTTCACTGTTAGATAGCTGCACATTACCATGCTATGGTACATTTCTCTTTTTTCTTTTCAATAGAAAATGTAACAAACTGATTATGAAAATGTATGATGAACAATAGCATGAAAGCTTTTAGTTTCTTTTTTTTAATGGAAGCTTCTATTCTATCTTTGTAACCTGCCATCTGACGATTAATAATCTAACATGTGTAATTATCTATCAAGTGATCAGAACTTCAGTGGTTGACATATCTACAATAGTGTACAATCATCAAGATGCCCTCAGGCAGTTTTCTCCACTTCTCACACATATTACAGTAACCAAATCCACAAGGGCACCTCAATAACCCCAACACTAAACACACTGACAGCAGCAATTAAAACCCAATACATTATGGTGCCCTAATTTCCCCTGGGCTTTTTGCTACTTCACAGGGGCTGAAATGACTACACAGTGTTACGTGTTTCAAGGATATACTATGTGTTTCAAGGATGGTATAAACTGGAAACAAAAAACAGCAGAAAAGGGTAAATTTCACATATATTTACCATACCAAGGGGTAGTATACATGGGCCGGTAAAACTGTTATTAAGTGCATACTGAGTCCACCTGAGTTGAGTAGCAATGTTAAATTGTGATTTTTTTTCAGTTTGTCTTGGGTATAAGTTACCGGCATTATATTGCACTGTGATTAAAACCTGAATGTACTCCTATTATTGTGATATTTGGACTTTGTATGACTTATATGTACATGTAAGAATGTTTTTACTTATCATAGATTGATCTCTACAAAATACGTGTATGTACTAAAACTTGGTTTAGGGTAATTTGTAAACATTAATCCTGTTCTAGTCACCACCACCATGTTCCACTGACCTGCGCAGGGATTTGTTAAACTTCAACAGTTTTCCGATGGACTCTGCACCCACACCTCTCAAGTTGTTCCCCTGGAAAACACCACACAAACCATTAACTATGTCAACATGTTTGTGTATAACCTTTAAACCATTACACACAACTCTAAACTAATTTCCACATTAGAAATTATGATTTCCAATGACTGTGCTCTTTTCCAATATATAAAATCTATATAAATGTTTCTTATGATCTATTGAATTGTAGATTACATACAGCGAGTAGACAGTATCCAATAGCAACTGTGACAACATAACTCTGGACAAATGTTTACGAAGCTGTACTTACTTTGAGGTCCAAGTTCTTGACCATCGTGTTGGAACATAGACCATGTAGAAGCAGTTTGGCACCTCAGGAAAGTAAACATGAGATTATAAATTAAGGTACTAGTACATGTACCTGTTGAGAATGAACATCTACAAGATATAGTTTTCTTTTCAGTAACTATTAGAGCTCATTCCCACTTTTCCTTTAAACAACACACAAATTAAACAAGTAGGTACTGTACTTAACAGCAGAGATCTACAAATGAAGCATCTCTAATCCCTGAGTATGCACACTTCAGAATCAGATTTCGGTGTAACACTGTTCAAGACATTCTTCAGAAGGCCTTGGTGTTTTTTTTCTTAAATGTGGTAGTCTTCTGGCTTGTACATGTACCTTCTTCATTCAGCATACAGTCAGCAAGTCGGATCTCTGAGAAGGACCTGTCAGTGGACAAAGCCTTCCCCAGGACTGCACACGTGTCCACGTGGAGGCTGCAGAAACACAACGCACAGAAAATCTAGTTAATAGAGAATTTTTTCAGCAGACAAGTTTTTGAAGGGTAAGAGTACTAACCTCCAAATTTTCAATGGCTATCAGTCCATTTTGTTCACGGAGTAGCACGAGACGAGGCCAGAGACTTGAGATAGTCATCAAAAATTTGGAGGTTAGTACTATAGTACATGACAAATGAATCTCTTCAACCTTGTAAGTTGTACCTGATAGTAGACAGGTCCAGTCAGCTGGGCCCATGGTTTAAACGTACCTGATAGTAGACAGGTCCAGTCTGCTGGGCCTGTGTTTCAGGGTTAGGGTTAGCGCTCCTGTACGTACCTGATAGTAGACAGGTCCAGTCAGCTGGGCCCATGGTTTAAATGTACCTGATAGTAGACAGGTCCAGTCTGCTGGGCCTGTGTTTCAGGGTTAGGGTTAGCGCTCCTGTATGTACCTGATACTAGTAGTAGACAGGTCCAGAATGCTGGGCCCATGGTTTAAACGTACCTGATAGTAGACAGGTCCAGTCTGCTGGGCCCATGGTTAAACGTACCTGATAGTAGACAGGTCCAGTCTGCTGGGCCCGTGTTTCGGGGATGACCCCAGCTCCTTGACCTGCTGCAGTACTGACTCCTGCGGCTCGGTGTCGTGGTCCTTACAGAGCTGCAGGTACAGCCGACGGAACTCATCCATCGCGGCCGCGAACACTGAGGACCGTGTTCAGGATCTGAAAATAAAAAGTCAGTTGGCGTGGACTGAGTAAAGAGATTCTATTCACACAACCAAGTGTTTTATTCACAGCCGACGTTTTGGTGACTGTCTGTCATCTCTGACTGGTTCACATTGCTGTGAATTTCTGTGTCAGCTGTATAAAATAGAGTTTCTTTACTCGGTAACTTACCAACCTGGTGAAACTATTCACGGATGACCTGGGCTATTTCAAGAGCAAGATAGAGGGAGTAGCCTGGGTGCCGATATCCTATGTAGGCTCCCTAATGTTGCGGACATGGAGTCTACAGAGGATGACACCCAGGCTAAGTAATAAGAATCTGTCTTGTTATTGTATCATCTGTTATCATCTTGAATGGTGAAACTTGAAAGGCCCCCAATCCATCACTCATTCACTATAATAAATCATTTTCATTTGACTGTCTTGCCCATCTTTTTCCCTCCTTAGATTATGTAATGTTTTTCACACTTGCTGATATGTTAGCAATAACTTTGCTGACCATGTTTAAAACCCTTGCGTGTTGATCAAGTCAACAGTGATAATAATTTGGGAACAGACTTTGGATCTTAATTGGACAGTTAACATTGTTTTGCTGCTCGGTAACTGGTAAATCCTTCTATACAAAATGATTGATGGTCTTTCATAATTACATGATCCTGTATGTCTGTGCCACAACGTGTTTAGTTAAATTTTTGTTCTGCCTTCTTCAAATGCATAATCTTTACAAGAACAACGTTATTGTAATATAAATTACGGGGGTCAGTGTACCGATGCCTTTACTTTCAAGATTTTTAAAATCAACAGTTTCGAAGGATTCGTTGAACACAAGTTCATATTAATTTCAATACACAAGATATAGGGATCTAGTGGCTTGTTGTTGTTTTTTCAGCAGTAATGATCACGAGGACAAGAAATGACCTGTTTAAGCATAACCATGGAGGTAATGGCATAACCAAGGACATAACCAAGCAAGCCAAAGCCATAAACGGATAATTCCTAAATAACGCTTCAGAGTGATTTTTGAAGAAAGGTGCAGTTTCAAAGAGGACTAACTAAAGTATCGCGTATTGAATCGAGTCTTACTGTGTATTGTAACTGTATGTATAACAAATACTCACAAAAGCGCTGAAATTTCCCGGAAAAGTGAAATAATTGCGTCTGCTTCAATGTTGTTGTTGTTTCAACCGTTTGAGTCAGCCGCCATCTTTCAGGATCAATCTATTATCTTCATAGGGAAGGCTACGCGCTTTGGGGAGGAAAAGTAATATCTCATTTTCCAGCATAAGTATACAAAGCAAATGATTTTAGTTACTATAAAAGAATCATTAAGTTGATTTTCTTTTAATGTGTGATAATTGAAGAAATTTTGCGTTAAATATGGTTTATTAAACAAAACACCCCTAATCTACCTGGACTAGTCTACAATAACAGACACGGCTCTGCTACGCCCTCTAGCAGATTAAGTGGGTAACGCAATAGAATTTTGTTGGTAGAGTGGACCACTCAGTTGCGCCCTCTAGCGGGCGTATAGATCACAAGTTCCTCTTAGTCTGCCACTGTTCAACAGAATCCACTCCTCCAGAAGCACAACTGCCAGAGATTTTCATGTGCAGCAAGCTGTACCCTAGCTTCAGTCGTATTGTTAATGTTGCAATAAAAACTCCTTTCAAAATCTCAATTGCAAAATGAATTGAAATTTCTTGGGCAACTGGCTCAACAACTTGTGCTATAAATTCACTTCCATAGAGGTTTAATAGCTGCTGTACTCAGTAAATAATGTCACCTGTACAAGAAATAAGACAACAGACTTGTGGTTTGAGCACATGAATGTCCACATATAATTTACCTGTATGTCCGTGTCATGCAGTTTCAAGTTTGTTCTAGAGAATAAACCCACAGAAAATACATGTAGTTGCTTAATCCACAATAGAAAACAAGTGCTGTAATGCATGTGCCTGTTTATGTGTGCTTTGTAATAGAACTTTTGTTGCTATCAACATCACCACCATTGCACTGATGATACACTAGTGCTCAACTAAAATCCCCTATCTAGGATAAAAGTAAATAATACAACATGTACAAGAAAAGGTAACTTGAACATTCAAATATGGCATTAGCCAAATATGTACACTGTTAATAGAAAACATCACTATCTATTTATATACACAGAAAATTAAGTTAAAAAACTAAAAAAAAAAAGGATCAGGCAGGATTTACATCTCTCAATAAAACCTTTCTGTTTCACAATGGACAAACCCAGGTAAGACAATTTTGTAACTGTCTAGACTAGAGGCCCCATGAATAGGGTAATGCTACTCTCTACTATAAAAGATGAGAAAAAGACTATTTACAAAGTGTGGCTGGAAAATCACCATCAGAACTGCTTTACTTAAAAAAAGGGTTGTTCAGCTTGAGGTTTCTTTGTATTCACATCTTTCAACACAGAAATAAAGTACAGAAGCCAAGAACGCTGTCAAAAAAAGTCCCCCTATCCTTGACAATGAAGTATGAACTGTTGTATTATGAAAGCATTTATAAGGGAATGTCACAACAAATCCCTATCTCCTGTGTTGATAGTGTCTGCTATCTCTCCTGTTATCTCTGTCCCTGCTGCGATCTCTGTAATCTGCGTCCCTCCCCCCACGATAGTCTGAATCCCTCCCCCCACGGTAGTCTGAATCTCTTGCCCAGCCCCGCTGGTCCCTGTGATCTCTGTCCCGGGATCCCCTGTGAGGCGTGTCCATGGGGCTGTACTCGTTCCGATGTCCCATGTTGTTGTGGTTCGGCCTGTGGTGGCTCATTGGCGTTCTTTGCATCTGTAAAAACAACGTTCAGGATTTGATGATTACTTCTACATGCATACAGTACTGACAAGATACATGTTGGAATAAGTTGGAAACAAGAAAAGCTAGGGAAGATGTGAAGAAAGACAAGTACAGTGTCCATACTTACATCACCTGGATCACTCTCAACCAAAGACGGTGACTTGACAAAGAGGAACACAAACAAACAGATAAGAAAAAATTTTCAACTGAATGAAGGAGAAAAGTGTTGAACATACAAATACTAATATTCTTGTATGCCTACAGCAAAAAGTGGAGTGGACCACAGTAAGTGTAACATTCCTTCTTGAACTGCACATGGAATTTAACTCTATGGAGGCAAAACTACCCTGACTAATTATTCTCCCTATTTGGCTACATTCTGCTATTTTTCAAGTGTTGTTAGTCTGGTGGAGACTACAAAATTCTGTAGCTTTATAAGTTTATAGTCCTACCTGTTGTGCCATCTGGTGAGGGCTCATCATCTGCATACCCATGGGAGTCGGCATCAGGCCTGCCCCTGGGGTCAGTGGGGGTGGGGAAGCCCAGTAAGTGGTTAAACCCCTGGGGTGGGGGGTTCATCTGGGGGGTGGTGAAGGCCCTCTGGAGCTGGGGCGGTTGGGGGTGGTGAACTGTGACTGGTGGTGGGGGTGGCGTTGGGACTGTCCACGCCGCCGTGTGCGGGGCTGGCGTGCTTGGAGCCGGTACGACACTGCAGGCGCAGCGAGCGCTCGTGCAGCCGTATGCCGTTCATCAGCTCGATGGTGTACGGTACCGACACGGCGTGTTTGAACTCGATGAAGGCGTAGCTCCTCGCCTTGCCTGTGCCTGGGTCCTTAGGGATGGTGACTCCTACTAACGGACCTGCCTAGAAAATAGCAAACATAAGATATTCATAAAAACTGGAAAAACAAATTATTTTCTTTCTTTCCTTGCAATTGGCAAACGACCATGAGTTTTTTACAACCCCATAGAACACATTATATAAACATTGTATGAATTAATTTCAACAGTGCTGTATTATAGATTGTTAACCATGATTTTATATATCTATCATACATATGTCAAAAGGCGTTGGATTTTATCATGCAAACAACACCGCATATGCATTATTTCCTGACAACAATATATTTTACAACAGACCTGGAGAAAGAGTTCGTATAGCAGCTCCTCCGTCGTTTGGGAGCTGAGATTCCCCACCCAAAGCGTCCGCTCTTCCTTGTCGTCTTCCATGACCATGCCTAGAACCTACAGTTGGGTTTCTGGAGTGAGAAATTTAAGTTTTTGTCCCGCCAACCCCAAATTACACGCCTGAATCCACGGTTTCACCAAGCCACGTAAACTCTAACCCCGGGAGCTCACATTATTTTATAGGGGCGCACAAAAATTATAGCAGCAATATATTACTCTATTTGACCCTACTATTCATGTTTTAAAAGAGTAAGATGTCCAATAAAAGTATTATATTTATTTAAAGTCTTTTATTATTCTATTTGCTGCAATGTAAAAACCATTTCATTGCACATTAGGAATGAGTACCCTTTAGTTTCAGTGGACGTTCCGAATTTCCCCACAATGCTTTAGTGAACGTCGAAACAACGTGAGGCGAAATCTGGCTAACAACAATTTTCCAACAACAGGAAAACTCCTCTCTGGTACTTTAGAGCTGTGAGAAATTGTAAGTGTATTATTACAGTTATTCTATATCCTCGGGTGTTCAAATGTTTCAGAATTGTGTTTATCGTGGCACAAAGTCGCAGCAGGAGAAGGCATTTGTTGAAGGGGGAGGGGGGCAGTTGTTTGGAAAGGGCTGCTTTGGAAAATCATTTCATGTTTGTCCGTTTTGTTCGCGTAATAATGTCCATTCCATGTAACCTGTGCTGTTTTACTCAAGTATTTAGTACCCATTGTATAATTTTTTTATCGTTTAACATATCTAACCAGTGGTAATTACTGTCTGAACACCTTTTATACTATAGACTAATCTCCAAGCAGATCTTTTGGTAAAATTTTGGTGGCCGCAAAGACAGAATCAAATTGGCCAGGCTGTATAGCTGTATCCATTGGCAAGACAGCTACCATTTTGCCACCCACAGCCACCAAAGATCTGCTTGGAGATTACCTACAGACCATGTCTAGCAGAAAAATACATGTAAAGCAAGGACAACAACAACGGCTGAACAGTTGAACTTGAACTCAATTTTTTTTCCTACAAGTGACTGTTCACCTTGTTGACAACTGTAGGTATTCTGTAGCCCAGCGGAGACAGACAGCCAATCAGGATGTCTCTAGCAGACGAGCTCCTGGCGGACCTGGAGGAGGAGGCTCCGGAGAACGAGGAGAAGGAGATGGAGGATGTGGAGGAGGTTACCATGGAGATGGAAGTGAAGCAGGATGGGATAGCCTCCATCGCCAAGCTGCGAGACTCGCAGCAGTTAAAGCACGTCATGAAGCAGATCGACCACTACACAAGCAGCGGGTTCAGAGACGAAAGTATGTCATGGTTACAGTGAAACACCTATCAGGGTTGGACAAGTCCCATTGCCCACTTGCCCAGGGCAAGTAAAAGTACTGTTCGGGCAAGTAAATATCCCCCTGCACTTGCCCGATTGGGCAAGTAAATTTTTAGGATGCAAAGTATAGCCCCTGCATTATTTCGATCGAGTTTCAAACAATTTTGATGAATAAAGCATCCAATAAATAAACTCTTCTATAATAAAATAATTTCCTTTCTGCTAGTAAAATGAATAGAAATGTGTCATATTTTGGGCAAGTGAAAAGTTGGTTCGGGCAAGTGAAAATGACCAGGTACTTGCCCGGTAGGGCAAGAGGATTTTTGAAAACTTGTCCAACCCTGCCTATGATATACTACAATGTAGTATTTTAAGTGTACCCGTGTGTTCAGTTTATAAAATGTCAGTTGTTTTGTTTTGTTATCTCTACTATGCATAAGAGTCATTAAGACTGAGATTAAGTCATCTCAGTCAGTTGCCTAAACTGAAGTTAAAAAGTTTTACTTTCCCCCCAGTGGTTGGACCAGTAGAAGCTGACCCAGAGTACCAGCTGATTGTGGAAGCTAACAACCTCACTGTGGAGATTGAGAATGAGATCAGTAAGTATGGCCAGCTTCTCTTCTCTCCACCAGTGATAAAGGCTTCAAGTATACAGGCTACTTATAGGTCTATGTGTATTTTTAAAATGTTACACTAGATTTCAGCTCTTATGCTCTTACTCACTATCCAGTGTATCATTTTGCAAGGGTTACACATGATTACACTTCACATGTCAATGTTTAAGAAAATTATCACTAATACTTGTACTCTTCAATTTCAGACATCATTCACAAGTTTGTCCGTGACATCTACTCTAAACGGTTTCCTGAGCTGGAGTCCCTTGTTCCCATGGCTCTAGACTACATCAGGACAGTCAGGGTGAGTACACAACTTTGTCTTCTTATCTCATCTTTTCTTAAGATAAACACCTGTGGTCCAAATGATGTACATGTATTTTTGTACATAGATCTTCCAAAGTTTGCTAGACTTACTATTACATGGAACTGTTAACGATTAATGTTTTGCTTTCTGTTGAACAGGAGATTGGCAATGATCTGGAAAAGACAAAGAACAATGAGGTCCTCCCAACCATCCTGACTAATGCCACAATCATGGTGGTTAGTGTCACGGCCTCCACCACTCAAGGGTAGGTTTTAAATAAAATCACAGCTGTACACATGCAGTAGCATGCAACAGTTCAGTGACCCACAGATGTAATCATCAGCATCATAGCATCACATCAATTTTACCTGCACTAACTTAGTGTGGGTAAAACTTGGACTGTGCAGGTATTTCTGATGTCTATCTGCACCTTACCTGCAACACCATGTACTGTGTTTATATACAAATGTAGGTGTGTGTGGATTTTTATTTGCTGCATTCACTGTTACCACCTACTAGTATAGAAGAAATTATGGCAATACATGTAGTTTCTAAAGAGCTTTAGTATGATCCATACTTCTCAAAGTCTTTGTGGTGCCGGTAAAATTTGTCTGGTGTAGGTAATTTTCATTGTTACCTTCAATGGTCACTATTACATATATGAGTCTTATTATTCTACCATCCCTTAAAGTGACTGGATCCTTTTTCCCCCCCAGGTCCATCCTGTCAGCTGATGATCTGACTGACATCAACGAAGCCTGTGACATGGCTGTGGACCTGAATGCAGCCAAGCTGAAGATCTATGAATATGTGGAGTCCAGAATGTCCTTCATTGCTCCAAACCTGTCCATCATTGTGGGAGCATCCACAGCAGCAAAACTCATGGGTGGGTGTTAAAAAATCAAAATTTGTGGAATTCATTATAGGGTTAAAATTACCTCTTCGTGTGTAAGTTGGTGCACTTAAATATGGTGCTGTGCACTTAATTTTTTAGCAGTCTGCTCCAGTACAAGTAACCTTTTTTATGCAAGTATTTTTTTCTCATGTGCACCTTTGCACCTTTAGTACCGAAATACTAGTATGCAATTCTAGACGGGGAGGCATTAGGCAGCAGACAGGAGGTGGAGGCTTTACTATTTTGTTTAATAAGAAGATCATCTGCATTCTGTAACATGACTGATACAGAGAATTCACCAAAACATGTGGCACTCTTGGTTAGGTGTGGCTGGAGGCCTGACTGCTCTCTCCAAGATGCCGTCCTGTAACGTTCTGGTTCTCGGGGCCCAGAAGAGAACACTAGCCGGCTTCTCCTCTACGGCAATCATGCCCCACACAGGCTTCATCTACTACAGTGAACAGGTGCAGAATATGCCTGCGGTAAGTACTTGTTCTGGTATTTGTTGTTTGTGTCACAACTATTTTGCTAAAGTGTAAGTCTGTGAAAGTAGTCACTTTTTAAAGAGAAACTGTTCTGTGTCTGTATAGTTGGTATAACCATCCTTCGGCGTAATACACAAGCCTTGCAGGCATGCAGCAGCTAGTTATATTACACCCAACGCTGTATCAACTGTTAACTGGAAAAAAGATAGTATTTCACAAAAATGCAAGCAAGTCCAGAACTTGTAGTAGAAAATATCAATGCACTAGATTATATCCTATCTTTCTCTGTCCCTCACTCCTTCTCTCTTTTTCTGACAAGAAGTGGTATTCCATGTGTTGTTCTAGGATCTAAGAAAAAAGGCCGCCCGTCTGGTATCAGCCAAGTGCACCCTGGCGGCGAGGGTGGACAGTTTCCACGAGTCGGCCAGCGGCGTGGTGGGAAGCAACCTGAAGGACGAGATCCAGAAGAAGCTGGACAAGTGGCAGGAGCCTCCTCCCGTCAAACACGAGAAGCCGCTACCCGCGCCCATCGACCCGGGGAGGAAGAAACGGGGAGGGCGGCGGTACAGGAAGATGAAGGAGAGGCTGGGGATGACGGAGTTTAGAAAACAGGCCAATAGAATGCAGTTTGCAGAGGTAAAATGTGGTGTCAGCTCTATTTCTCTCATGGTGATAGTCCAACTCAATGTTTTAGTGACCTTGCACTTTGTATTTCAGGTAGATTAAGTGTTCACATCTTGCACAATCAGCAGTTTCATTGTATTTGTGACTCCCTTGTTGTAACCTATTTTTTTTTTGTTACTTTTCGTCTCCCAGATTGAAGAGGATGCATACCAGGATGACCTGGGTTTCTCGTTAGGCATGGTTGGAAAAGGAGGAACAGGCAGAGTCCGTGGGCCACAGGTGGACAACAAGACACAAGTCAAGATCTCCAAGACACTACAGGTAAGAGTACTAAGACAGAAATATCTCAACTTAGCTTTTACTTGGCCAACTGCTTACAAATCTGTAGTAGACTATACTTTCATGTAGCATAATTACACAGTTTTCATATTTTCACAATTCATTAGATTTAAAAAACTACTTGTTGATATCTTTTGTGGGGAAATTGCAGAAAAAACTATTTGATGTGTGAATGATTTCATGTCTTCTATTTTACCTCAGAAAAACCTACAAAAGCAGCAGGTATATGGTGGAAGAACAACATACGCAGGAAAGATTAGCTATGGTGGGAGATCAACTGTTCGAGGGCAGGTGTCAGGAACAGCTTCCAGTGTAGCCTTCACTCCGCTACAGGTTAGTGTGTGGCTATGTTTCTTTCTGTGAGAAAATGAATTATTAAAGCATTATGCTTTTCATAGGCTTTAAAGTTTTACCTCACTTCTGCTATGTTTCAACCCTTTCCAACTCTGGTGAACAGCATTAATTGTCTTTCCTGTTTCATCTTCTTGATTACTAGTACCAGTAATGATAATTTATTGTAAATTTTGAATCCATTTGATTTGCACAGAATTACGTCGACGTCCATGTCTGCATAGAACCACTGACCATATGTTTCCATCTTCTAAAGATCTCAAATTGTTTTTGTCAGTGTTTTACTTATTGTTGTCCTCATCGACAAATGTAAAGATTCATGTTGATGATAACAGTGCCCTACTTTTGAAGTGAAGATTTAATACTGCTCTTCTCCCATCAGGGCTTGGAGATTGTGAACCCGAATGCAGCAGAGAAGAAAATCACCGACAAGCAGGGCAAATATTTCTCCAGCACAACCGGCTTCGTCAAGGTGGAACAGGAAGGCATGCCCAAATGATGCTCGCAGGACGTTTAGCTTTTTATATTTCAGTCCATACCATGGTATGGATGAAATATATTGTGTTCTCTGATGTTTCTTCTTCTCCTCCTTCTCCTCCTCCTTCTCCTCCTGCCAAACAGTCAAAGGGATTCAACTCAGCCATCATTCAGCCAAATGACTTGAAATTTGGCATGGAGGTAGAGTGGGCCAATACCCCCAGGCGTTTTTTCCATTTTTTTGATACATGCCTTAGAAAATTTTTTATGAAGGTTTTTTGGGGCATTTTTTGACAAAAAAAGGATTTTTGGATCCTGAGCCCTGGTTTTACAACCAAATGATCTGAACTTCGGTATAAGGGTACCTTGAACATGTGTCTACAGAATAGCAGTCACATATTTGGCATACACCACTTCCAAATGCCTCATTTGGGGGACTTTAATGGCTATTTTCAGCAACAAAAGGGCCAAAAGTGCTGTACCCGTTCCATGTTCTATCTAAAGAATGGCCGGTTCCATCCACGGAACACGTGTTCCATTGTGGGTTACCTGAGGTCACATAGCACCTAAGTCGTGCGTAATGACCCACACATTCAATTTTATGTGCCTAAGACCTTCAAAATGTATCAAATCTCATCATTGTTAGTATTTGCATACCTGTAATAAGATTAGTAAAGCTTTCGAGATTCAAAGTACTTGTTCTTGCATCTTTGTTCTCATATAGCTACTATTTGATTCATTTATTTAAGGACTTTTGGCAGTTTTGCACTGGGGTAAGTTTGGAATAGTCCACTTTTGCGTGGGAGGGAGATGGACTGAAATATGCTGTATTTGCTCCCAAGCAAATGTCGGCCTTTCTAGTTTGTATTTTATTTTTTAAATGTCTGAGCCTTTATTAGTTCTCTCTAGCCAAAGCAGGCAATATTAGGTAGAAGGTTTTTTTCCTATTTTGGTATGCTCGTGTGAGCTTACAGATACAGTTTGCGACAACAATATTTATATAACTGTAAATAGTTTGCTAATAAAGAAACTGGCCAAAGACAGACCCGGATGGAAGGAAAAATTCATGACCTTATGTCTCACAAGGGATGGAAAGGATAAGTAATTAGTAAATGAATAGTTTGGGAACTTGATAAAGAAATGAATATTGCAACAAAAATTTATTGCCCCTATGTACTTGCTCCTATGTACTTAGCATCATACCATCATTACAGTCTGGAATCAAATTTTTTTTTGTTTCTTCTTGTGAAAAGGATCTTGTGATTTGGAGAAGAATGAAGACTATATAAGACTAAAGACTGTATAAGAATAAGACTTTTCATGTGCAACAATTACACAGTGTTTTAGTCTCTAAATGGTGAGAATTGCTGCCAACTAGTCTGGTATGACTTTTACTTAGAACTAGCTCAGTTTGTTTCATCATTGATGGTATTAAATGACAGACATCTCTCAAATTTATTATTGGACCTTCCTGTATACTTTTTTTATATACAGTACATGTATGTGAGTCACTGACTTTTATAAAGCAACAGTGTAAAAAGCATGTCTTCGGTGATTCATATCTTTAATAGCTGCTGATATACCAGTTGTACATATGTCAGTGGCATGGTCATGTTAATTTGTATATGCCTAATTTTTAAGACTGTACCTAATTTTTGTCTGGCAATGAATTCATATTTCTTATTGGGAACCTTTCCATAAGAATAGTACACTCTGTTTGTTTAGTTTCCTTTCCATTATTATTTGAAGAATAGATGCCTAACTACCAAGGTCATGTACAGTCAACTTCAAGGACAGATTAAAGACAGTCCTTATTATAGTACTCAGTGTGTATTTTTGTTTAACTGATCAAGCTCGTAAAATTACAGCTGGCAAGAGAGGAAGAAATTGTACATGGTTTAGATTTTCTCGGAATTAGGCCAAAATATAACATTAGATATAACGTTAGTATAGTTTCCAAAACAGGCATTGTTTCCATGTGATTGCTTGTGTCTTTCATTTTTCAGAGGCATTAAAAATGGCCAGTATAACAGTAATAGAAGGAAGGTGGAAATATGATTTGGTACCTTAATAGGAAACTCGTTCCAACAGATACAACCAGTTCTGTTATGAAAAATAAAACCATGACAGGATGACAAAAGAGACCATGTAACGTTACTAACGCAACATTAATATTTTTGTATTTCTGGACATTGCTGATGTCTGCTAAAATACAGCTCCAGTGGAGAAACATAACATGAAAATTTATCAATATAAAAGTTTGCTACTGCCAGACAAGATAGGGTACGTGTCTATTCATTGCCAGCCAGCCACACCAACCACTTTGATGATATATCGATGGCAAATTTATCTTAAAATTTGTAGTACTAGTAACCCCTGGACTAATGGTTTCTTCCATATCCGAGCCACCCGTCATGCACTTCGATAAACAAAGTCACGTGAGGATTTCGATTTCACCTTTTTGCATCAATTATGATAATGAGTAGCTGACAAAGTTCGTCGTGTTGCCCTTTCCTGCAACTAAGTTTGCCGGTTTTAGTCCAAAATAACGTCGGCTAGCAGGTTGCAGCGATGCCTGGGCCAGTGGAGAGGTGGCTCGACACGTTTATGTGTGGACAATACGCCGAAATCTTTCACAGATTCGGATTTGAGACGCTTCAATCGGTGAGTGGCGAGTCAGCCAACATGGTCGAGCTCATTTTTTTCGGCGCCGAACTCCTCATGTTTGGGGAGGGGGGTAGATACGTCGCTAAAATGTGCTATTTCTGATTCCCTAGGTTTGCCAACTGCAACTGCACACGCTCCAGCAGATGGGAGTAAAGCCCGAGGACTGCGAGAAAATCTTGGAAAACGTCTCCGTGTTAAAACAGACGATCCTGGGTGTGTATTGCTCTTCTTTGTACGTTCGTTGTATTCATTTGGGAATAGTGTTGAGTGCTTTGATTGACTTGTTGAAAATCTGCTGATGCCCCGCAAGTAATCATGGCTGTTGACTCGTAGGGTATCGTTCCACAGCGGGGTCGACGCCGCCACAGAACGTCCCCAGCCTGCCCGACCCCGTCAGCGGCATGCCCGCCCCGCCGCACCACACGCCCTCGCCGGGCCCCAACCCCATCGTCAACCCGGCCAGCTCCGCGCTCAGGAACGTCGCCAGGAATGCCACAAGTCGGGGGATGTCAGGTGAGTTCCGCATGACACCTGTTCACGTGCTATATATCCCTTCTTCTTTACTCACCACATCCCTCCGTGATATATGAGCTCACTAAGTGACGCTTTCCTCTCTCTGCAGGTACACCAGAGGGCTCTCAACTTGACCCCTACACTCACCCCACCTCCCCAGGCATGGTTGGCCCACCGCCACAGAACTTCGACTCAGCGCCTTCCAAGCCTATGTACGGTCCTCCAGGCTATGTAGAGGAGCAGTACAGACCGCCACCCACACAAAATGTGCCAAACCCACCCAAAGTCCAGCAGCAAACGGTAGGAATATTACATGTATTCACACTAGTGTGCAGTATGGGTCTGCCACAGCCCAGCCTGCTTCGTACCATGCGGGATAACTTAGCACAGAACACATGGGAAATGGTACATCCCACCAAACCTGCTGCCTCAAGCAGGAACAAGTGCAGCCCTCGTTGAGAGTTACTTGCTAAATCATTAGCCCCTATTGTTTACACTTCCCGCCCAGGTGCCTTTGTTAGAAGCCTTGGTTGGAAGCCTTTGAAAAGGTGTTTGCTGCCTCTGGTGTATCATGTTACACTAGAGTGGCCAGTCTGTGTCACAGGAGAAAGTAGAGGAACAGGTTTCTGTTGGCTGCGCTATGAAAACACATTCTTTTGTCTTCCCTTTAACAGAAAAACAAACTACGACAAGAAAACGACCTTGTTGAAAGTTATCAATCTCTCGTTAGAGGTTCTCTCTTAGCATCTTTAGCCGTAACATTTTTAGGCTGCTAAAAATTAACAGCTAAATGCTCAGCTACACAGATAAGGATTACAAAGATTACAGCTAAGTGTAAAGTAAACAGGTTTGTTGATACAACACCCTACGTTAGCCAATAAAACCATTACTTTAGGACAGTGTTTTGATTTTTATTACATAGGGATGTAGCTCTATGCTGTTTTAAAGGAAAGGGGTAGTTCAGTTTCTTTGTTCAAGTTTAAACAGTATCATATGTGATAACTCTAGAACAAACAGTTCCAGAGCAAACACGACCAGGACAACATGAACAGCAACGCTGTCCACCTGTTTATAAAACACAAAGTCCACCAGAGCTGTCATGGCTGCTTGATGTGAATGGTCTGGGTCATAGGTCAGCCATCATTCCTTACCAGGTCATAATCAGGGGCTCCACCATCTCATTGCTCGGCATTGATTTTCCTCAGCTGCGCGTAATTAACACAGCAGATTTCCTCATCAATCTGGCCAGCCTTGGTGCAGGGGAAGTAAATTTTTCTGTCATTATCATTCGCTTTGTGCCAATGACACGCTCAATTAGGTCCAATGTTTGCCGTAGTAAGGATGATCACACTTGAGTTGAGGTGTGTGATTTACAGGAGTCAGGAGATGGGATGTCGCACCGTTACTGATTTACTCCATCCTGACAGGCAGCTCGTAAGAACAAACAATTATTCTCCTCTGTTATTACCTGTCTGTAATCATTGTCTATTGTGACAGATGATGAAGAGGCAGTTGTTTATTTGTAAATTATGGGTTGGCTGTGGAGGAACATTTCCTTCTTAATCTGTCCTTTTTGACTCTCTGTTATCATGTAAAATGAAGAGGTGCTGATAGATAATGATGACCAACTTGTCGTAAGTCAACCTATCAGAAGGATGTTATAATAACTTATATATCAATGGTTAAATTTATAGCTTTAGCTCTGGAACACATTAGGTTTTATCTTTGCTCCCTAACCATTCTACAGTAAGTTTCAAGAAGTAAGTAAATGTTATCTATATCCTTAGATTGCCTTTACTTGAGGTATTTGGGGTGTGTACTTCTACTTCTATGCAATATTAGGCAAAACCCCTGGAGGTGTCCTATAACATTTTTCTGTAGTAGAGCCCTTTCCAGGTAGTCCTGACATTAATTTTACACGCGCGTATACCTGTTGAGATTGATGGCACTATAATGCAATGTAAAGCCTGTAGGTTCCCCCTGTATCATAATGAAAAGCAACAAGTTGTCCACATATCTTGCTGCCAGTATCTTTTGACACCGGCCCAAACAGTTGGTTGATAGGGGAGAAGACAGGACGCAGCATGCCAACCAAATTCTCTCTCCTGACCTCTGACACCCCCAGAGGTGGGGAAGCAGGTCTGTTTGTTTTGGTCCTGTCTTCAACCAATTTTACACCAACAACAGCATGGGAGGAGCCAGGGGGGAAAGTTGTAATGTTGTTTGTTAAGGCAGGGAGGAACAAGAAAAAATAAATTTGTTCCAACTGCTTCATACAGGGTTGAGTGTACTGCGGCATAGCAACGAACACATAGTATTCAGTTTATTTTGTAACTGATAACTCAATAGTTAGCAAAAAAAATAATGCCTCTCTGCTTGCTACATGTAGTTCTCAAACACCTACATACTAGTATTACTATGACTAGTCATTATCAAATAATCTGTGTACACATCGGTAGACACTACACCCGATTATAAAAGTCCAAAGTCGGATGTGAACATAAACAGTACCAGATCAAAAATGTAGAAGGTCGACCTTTGGCCCAGGTTGTCACACGTCCAAGAAGTAAGCTTTGTCTGGTTTTGAAGTGAAAGTATTCTGTGGAACTGTACTGGCTCCGGATTCAGACAATGTCAATAGCTTTATATGTACACTGCAGGCAAATAAGTGGGCACTCCGTTTATTTTTCCAAGTGCCATTTCTACAACAAGTATCCTTGCATTGCAACAAGTGTATGTGTACGTTTTGCACCATAGCTTGTTGTTTGTTTTTAGTCAGTCATTACATTTGTGTAGATAGCGTGTCAGGAACAGGCAACCATACATAAACATCTTCTCTCAAATTTCAGCACTTGTCAGCAGGTTGAAGCGTAAGGGATAGCGGGGAAATTTGTTGGATGGTTGCTCTAATGTTTCCGACACATATTTTGCCCAGGATATAGTATATCTTCCCGTGTTTGCACAGACGGGGACTGTCGGGGAGAGTGGCAAGTCTCAGCTGCATTTGTCTTCTCCCAAACAGCCCTCTCTCCCAGGATGTCGGCGCACCGTTGTGGCAAAAGCCCTCTCCCCAGTCTCCTGTATGATTCATTTCACAATTATTCGGGTGGCTGGGCAGGGAAATTGTCTTTTGGATGGTCTTCTCGGCTCAGACGGAAGTTGTCTGCAGGAATTCTGCAAGTGGAATTCTAAGTAGATGTTTCACCAATACTTAGGAAGTGTGTTCCTGGTTCAGGACTAGGCAGGAATGGGGAGATTTGTAGTTACACGATGTTCAGCATGTGTGATGAGTAAGTGTGTCAGGACTCGCGGTCAGGCCAAACCTTAATGGCTCTAAACTTTCACCCAGAGCTCATTGTATGATTTAACCTACCAGGGTGTCAATGCCAATTAGAACTAGATTTTGCATCAGATCATGTCTTTTCAGCTGCATATAAATTAGGCGCACATTATGCCAACTTGAGAACATAGAATGACTTAAGGATATGCATAATAGTGTATGAGTATAAATGGAAGAAATTGATAACATTTTGCAGTTTGCAGTGATACTACTGATAGAAGTATTCAAGGCTTTAAATATCACATTAATGATTAAGAAGACTACAGGTTATATAAATGGATTGAAGATATGATTCAGTGATAGAATTATTTTATGAAATATTAGAAAATCTATGTTGCATAAGCTCATTGAACATTGTAAGTCTAGTTATATAATGATTTGGTTTCTTTGCAATTTGTACTCCCAAATTAGAAAATTTGCAGCTTTGAAATCCAAGAGTGACCCAGTTGGTTGAAATGATGAAAAGAGTTGCTCGGAGGCACAATCTTAAGATGTTCGCGTCAAACCAACCATGCTCGGAGCCGATTTCTGTTGCCGCAGCTACCACACGACCAACCCAATTTGTTGCACAGTATTGATTTAATTCCAGGCAGAGTTTCCACCACATTATCACAGCCCGGTTATTACTACACTGGTCTGCCACTCACAGCCCAGCTGATACCATCTTTGTGGCCAGATTTAGGAGCCACTACATTAAATTACCTGGCTTTGTGCCTTGATAACCATTAATGGTATGTAGCGTAGGAGGATGTGGCAGCTACGACGGTTGTTTGTCTACTCATACACATCATAATGCACTACATAAAGTCAGTAAATATACATCTCATAATGAATGTTACGTACTTGTATATTATAAAGATGATACTCTGAAGGCTTTTAATTTTCGTGGTGGTTTTATTTTGCACAAAGAGGGAATGGAGGAGGTTTTGTAGTGTTTGAAGTTTGCAGTTTACACAATTCTGTAACACAGTAGAATTACAAAACATGTATTTGCTGTGTTAGAATTTGGCAGAAAGAGGTCACCACTAAAACCACAAAGATAATACCACTGCGAACATTCAAAGATTTACGGTATTTAGGACTATAAACTTTAGGTATGGTCGTTAAATGTAACTTATAATAACATTCATGACACAATCATATAGTATACATGTAGGAAAACACCCTAGAATTGGAGACAGCATCGGATGCAGCTGAAATTTTACTGGAATTAATTACAAGGTGTTGACTTCTACACAGTGAGACGTTAAGAAGGGAAGTACACACATGGTTGATGTTGATAAGACAGCTTTCTGTCTTAAGACTTGGCGCTTACGCGGCCACATCCCACTCAAGCTGTTACATGTGCGAATATCTCTGTTCGGCGAGATTACGTTACTTTCCTGTGGCGGAATCGTCCGCATCCTGTTTCTGGGAAATATTTATCACTTAATCTAAGCCTGGGAGATCTGCACTTCAGCACAACAATTTACGGACACATGGTGCCGACGACCTGGCTTGCGCGTGATCCTTTCCATTTGCGTGATTGTGGAATGATTGTCCTTTGGCTGCTCATTACGTTCCACAAGTGTGCGCCGCGACGGCCTCCATTGTTGGCGGGAAGACAAATGCTGCCGCGATGACCCCACAATGATGGGAATGGTTGTCGACTCCCTCCCATGAATTCGTGATAGCGGGGGTTGAACCGGGAGCCCTGTGGGTGGGGTTTTGCACACCCTCCCTCGGTAATTTCTCCGCAAGGTGCAAAGTGTAAAATTCACCTTTACCTAATTCTGCCATCAGGGGAGACAAATGACTGATGAGACAGTTTGTGGGAAGGAATGATAAAGGAAGAACGTGGTCTGTTTGATAAATGTTTCAATGCTGTCACCTGTGTGTACAACATTATAATCACTTTATCCCTCGTAGGTAAAACTTTGTGTAGATGGTGCACTTAATAGCTTTAAACACTGTTATACAG